CCCCACTCCAACCCCCACACCCCCCGTTCAGACGTTAGGGATTCATATCCAAGCTCTGGCTTTTCTGCGCATAGAGTTGATTATTTAGTTAACCTGAAGACTATAAAACGTCCTTTGGAGTGAATGTGAGTGTGAATGGTTGTTTGTCGTCGTGTACATGAGCTGTAATTGGCTGCCGACCAGTTCAGTGTGTAGCCTGGCTATCACCCAAAGTCAGATGGGATAGTCGAGTCACCAGCAACCAGAGTGGGGATAAGTGGTATTCAAAATGGATAGATGGCTCGATGTAAGGGGTGTGACGAAACATGTATTTAATCGATGTGTCTGCCCCGCGATCGAGCTACATTGATAGGTATTGGACTGCTGCCCATCGGACATAATACTGTCTATCGATGTAATTAACAAAAGAATTTTGTACTCAAAAATCTCTTTAATCCTTTTAAATGCCCTTTGCATTCAGGTTTGAATGTTTTTAATAAACTTGTAATAGTTTTTCACTGGGGCTCGTCAACTCCGGTTGACGCTGGAGATTTACGCCAAATACACAGCATGATAATAGATCGACATACATCATGGCGGCGAAGATGGAGGAGATTTTTAAGATCAATCAAGATCTTCGTTTCTCTGTAAATAAAACAATACAAAATGTCCCGACATGACAGTTTTTAAATATTAAATGAAAATACAACACACCCAAAAAGTTAAACACAACTAAAGTGTGTTGGGTAGTGATTCCCCCCCCCCCCCTTCCACCAGCCCCCGTCTCTGGAGGATTCGGGCAGTGATTCTTTTGCGTACCATTAGAGTGAGCCTTAGTGGTATGCTAGTGGTACTCGTATTACACTTTGAGAATCACTGCTGTCGAGGATTAAAGACACTTTTACCACACTGAGCTGGTGCTAGTATTAGTTTGAAGCGAGAGCTGGAAGAATTAGCATCAGATCATTGATTTTTATCTATTTATTTATATTTATTCACATATTCATCTATCTATCTATCTATCTATCTATCTATCTATCTATCTATCTATCTATCTATCTATCTATCTATCTATCTATCTATCTATCTATCTATCTATCTATCTATCTATCTATCTACCTATCTACCTATCTATCTATCTACCTATCTATTTATTTATTTTTACATATAGCATCACCGACTACTATATTGAGGAGTCTCTCGTACCTAAAGGAGGCAATGAGTGATCCGTGACTGACAATATTTCCCGCTCTCCAAAAGAATGACAAAATCCTCAATGAGCCATTCTCCTGTTTCCCTAACTTTCTGTGAAGTGAAGTGTGATTTACCTTGGTAGTCCGTCATCACTCTTGGTTTGATGACGAGCCTCTTTCTGCCTGCTGCTATGACATATTTGGAGAATATCAACAGTTAGAGATTTCTATCAACTTCCGATAGGAAAATTCTCTCTCTCTATCTCTCTCTCTCTCTCTCTCTCTCTTCACTCTTTCCCTCTTTCCCATGTTTTCAAGAGTGTACTGAAGGGGGAAGGTCATCTAAGACACTTTCAGTAAATACAGTAACTTGAAGCGCACTCATTAATAACCCCGCTCCGCTTAATGTGAGCTCAACTCTCTCTGATGCCTTTCTCTGTGGAATTAATAATAATTTTAAAAAAAGCTCTCCAAAGAAGCAAAGCCTCTTGGGTACTGAGTGGGGGTCAAGGTGTCGAAGGAATGTGAGTGCTCCTGGGGTGAACCGCTATTATGTAATGTATGTTTTTTTTTCCCCCCTTCAGAAATAGGAGCAGCTGCATAGTCAAAGGGGGGGAACACTGAAGTCGAAAATAGCATGCGGCCTTTTGCATGATATTGTGACACGTGAAAGCAGTTTGGTTCCACAAGGAATAAATTCTAAGCCCTTGCAGTGCATCATATCGACAACACCTGTCACTTCCTGCTACATCTGTAGAGGTGGGTTACTATTTTGATTTCGTATGTGATTTTTTTTTTCACGGTACTTTTTCCGTGGATTCATGGATTAATTTTTTTTTTAAAACACAAACAATAAATTAATCTGGATTACAATAAATGTCAATATATTTTTTATAAACGACTTACCGGTAGTTTTATTTAGGCTTGAGCTAAAATGAACGGGAAATGAACCATGAATCAATATGAAAGAGTTTCTGCATCTACTTCAATTAGATTTGTTCATTTTCCAAAACATTTTGACAAGCAATCTTTGAAGCATTCATGATGACAAGTTAAAAAAAATCTACCAAACGAATTCTGACGTAAACAGAAATCTGTAAATCACAAATCAGATTACAAAAATAATGCTAACATATTTATGACTTAAACTTTTCATGTTGTCTGAATACTACATGAATAAATAAATGAATGAATATACAGTACATATATACAATATAAAAAAATAAAGCCTACTGACTCAGGAATAGGTACAGGATTTGTTTTTCTCTCCCAGGGCTAAAAGTGGGGCTTGATCAATACATGGGGGGAGGGGGGGGGCGCGACTGAGAAAATAATTTATAAATATATTTTAGAATGAAATGCTGGAGGAATATAACTGGGGCATCACTGATTTCTGATGCCGCTGTAGCAGCACCTAGTCCCGGTAGCGCCATCTGTGTACAACTGACTGAAATGAAACATTTTGTTTTTTTGTGTTTGTTTGTGTGCGTGTGTTTTTTAATTGCTGTCTTTTTGATTTGAAAATTCCATTCGTTGCAAGGTCGATCTGAGTTTGAATTGTTCAGCCCCGATCTCTTTTTTTCTTGGTTCGAATATTTTCTCAAGAAATCAGTGAAATGCCTTTTTCTTTTGTTTATTTGATATGCAGTGATCACGCAAGATGAACGTTCCAGACTCACCCGCGATGGGTGAAAATCCGCACGATGGAGACATGACATTTTTTTTAATATATAGTTGTACCCCTCCCACACACCCATTTGAGCAAATTGAAACACTTAGCTTCGCCAGTATTTCCCGTCGTGTTGCAACCCAACCTGGTACTACACTGAAGGCACACAACTCTATATTCAGACTTGTAGAAGTTCTGTATTTAAAAATGCCCAAACTAACATAGAACTGTTCATATGTTCAAAATGTTCATAAGTTGAATGCTCGTACTGTAAGTTGCATTAAGATGAACCGTGATATTGCGATCTTCACAATATAGTTCACGTTCATCATTTCAATTTAAAGATTTATACTCTCTTTTCTCTTGCATTGTATCTCAATGCAAATTTACTCATTGTTGTAGCCAGAAAATGCACGCTAGCAGTTTATGGAATCCGTTATTCCTCAAAAATGACTGCATCATCTGCTCTCTCTCTCCTTTGCATTCATCACATCACCTGTTTTTTTCTCTCCCTTCACCACACTGCCTTCAACACTCTTGTAGCATCACCTGCTCTTGTGTCACGCAGTGCACCCTGCACGCCAACCAAACTCCCTCCACTTCTCCCTTCTTGTGTACGAAAGCCGTTATTTTGATTCATTCATCTGACTGACATGAAAGAGGCAAAAAACACCTCTCACATGATGCTTTGTGGTTCTACACAGTCTTAAACTTCAACCATAATAATTAACTCAGATTTGAAAAAAAAAATACCTCTCTGATTGTTCCAATGGGAACGGAGCATCAATTTTATGCATCTCTTGTATCGGATCTGATTTGCCTGTATCTAACGGAGTGTCTGATGAGTAGATTTTACGACTGATGACCAATGCGATGTCATTATGAGTGCAAACGAGGTCAGTTGTGATTACAACAGACCTCCGGGAAACTATTAGGTAATTTGGCTGGTGATTAAAATGAATGAAAAACAGTTTAATTCAAAATGGTGCGTGATTTCTTTTCGCACGTAATGGAAAAAAAAAAAAGATGGAGGCGGGCATGTCCAAATCAATTGTTGTTTATTTTTTTCTTTTTGACAACTGGTGGGTGTCCTATATTATAGCAAAACACTTGGGTGATTGCACTCATGTGAGAATCAAAGCGCAGGAATGTTGTGCTGTTTGATACGCACACACGTGAACAGCAAGCGATGCCAAATTAGCCTCAGCTTTTGCCGAATTATGCAATGCGATAGGATGCCAGTTGCCAAGCAGCTCTTGCACAGATCACACAGACAGGCCGCGCTTGTGTGATTTGTGCACAGTGCAATGACTCACAGTTCCGCCACTTGCACTGCTGTCCACGATTATGATAATTTGCACTCCACAAGCAGCTTTGTGGAAGAGCGGTAATCAGCCCAAATTCACTCTTGCACTTCCTATGCGCTCCCCATTCCCCCATCATGCGCCTCCCGACGAACTTCCCTCTGTTTCTCTGTTGTTCTGTCTTTCCTAGTCTGGGCTAATCACACACAGGAGGGGTACTGCCGATGAATTTTAATATTCATTTATACACCAAGCCTTTGAAGTCCCCCATCAACCCCTCAGTGCAGTGTAAGCACTTCTCTATCTCCCGCTCTGCCAGCACTGCCAGCTCAGAATATCTCCCCCTGCACCCTGTGCTTTGACTGGGTGTGTGCGTGCGTGCGTGAGTGTGTACTGAATGTAGAATCTACTAGAAAAGTCGACACAATGCTATACAGGATGACGGCAATGTCAGTGGTTCAAAACACAACGAAGCAATGCGTACGTACGAGACAGATGAATGAATGGAGAGTCCAAAAACATGCTGCACTGGCAGGGGTCAATCCAGACTCCTCTTTGGGCATCACCCAAAGGTCAATAAGGAATTAAATCCTGTCAGATGAACGCATGATGGAGCTTAGATCATGCGTATATAAGCTACACTGGTATAAATCCACTAGCAATATTTTAGAAATGTAAGGTAATGGGTTCTCTGCATACAGGAGTGTGCTTATGTCCTTTAATGTAGCAAGGATGGGCAACTGAAATGCTGGAGGGGGCCACAATTTTCATCCGTACGACGGCGGCCACGTAGAACAAAGCATTTCCTCACCATATGTTCATGTTCATGTCAACTTTATTGCCAAATGTGCTACATACAGCACAGATGAAATTTCTTCCCTCAGGAGAGAGAGGAGCCGCTGCGGGTGCCCGCAGCACCATCAAAAGAACAGTTAACTTAAAATAACAAATAATACAACGCAACACATGACACAACAACAACAAGAGATTAGACACAACACATAAGAAATATGTATGACAAAAATGCCCCTTTAAGTATGGACAAAATATGTGCTTACATGCTCTTAGTATATTTTGTTTTTGATAATAACTTTTTTAATGCAAAAAATCTACTATTTGAACCCAATAGCAAAGGGTTTGAGATAAACAACAAAATAACCACACACTGTAAAGTGCTCTCTTGGATAAAAGTTACCATTCAAGGATGGCACAAAATTGCTGAACAAGAAACCAACATTAAGTGGAAGAGCTCTTTTAGTCAAATGTTTTCAGAAAAATCAATTCACTCCAAATTTTCATATTATTGAAGTACTGTGTTTGTTTCATTTCAAATCCATCAAAAATTCTTTGGCTTGCTGACTGACGTTACAGTATAGGGCAGTGTAAGCGCTTAGCGCAACTAAGACCTGTCTGCCATCTTGTGGTGATTGGCGACATTACAACTTAAAACTACAGTTGAACCCTGACGCACTTCGGCCCCTGTGGAATAATTTATTAACATTTTTTATGAGACGTTAACGAGTCAATGTTATAACTTGCTGTTGGTTAAGTGAACTGTGTCTGCTTTATTAAATAAGTTTTACTGACATCTGATGATCGCTATATAAATCAGGGTGTAGTGTAGTGTAGCGTAGTGTTGTGTTGGCATTTCCTTGAGCGTAGCTTCATCTAGTGGATGCATTGTAGCTTGTGTATCATCATGTGGTGCGTCCAATATATGAAAAAAAATGACAAAACAGGCCATTCATTGAAGTTGCGCCTCATAATCCAGTGCGCCTTTTAGTGTGGAAAATACGGTAGTTCAATTAGGTTTGAGGTTTCGTTTTTATCTGACAATAGTCTTTTTTTTTTTTTAGTGAAGAAAAAAAAACACTCTTAACTAGCTGCCAGTTTCAGCTGTCACTTAAGCCTTCGTCTGAGCTGTCACTGCTTCTTTGTGACGTGTCAAAAAAAAACAAAACAAAACAGCTGACCGGGTTGGGAAACCTTCAAAATGAGGTTCCCCGACCCGGTCAAAGCTGTGAACCAGAATGCGCCCCCGTTGATGGTGCCATCTTCGTGGTGGGACGAGCGGGCTTACATGTTCCCACACACCCGGGGGATGCATTGCTTCGGCAGCAGGAAGGGGTTGAAGCGCAACTTAACTAGTCAAAAAAGTTCGCGCTTAAACAAACAAAAAAAAAGTTAGCGTGAACACAACACTAACGTACAGTATGCGAGACAGTGAACAGTTTGTGAAGTCACAAGGGGAATGCGCTTGGCGAGGCTGGAATGATGCGCAGCTAATCAACTCACGAGATAAATCCACTCGTTCTCTCATTGTTCAACGTCGCTCTGGGAACCAATCGCGTGCCTTGAATGATTGCCCGTGGCATGTACAGTACAGTACAGGCAAACACAAAGCCTCTGAGTCGTTCGGCATGCAGGCAAAATTTCTGTCTCTTGCGCATCAAGATGAAACAATGCATCTTTCCGCAACATGGCTGCCCATATAGCTGTATTTATACATTTTTTTTATGAATGCAATATTTTGGACAAACCCGCGAAGCACTGAAGACGCAAAACACGAAGCACGTCCATGATGTTTTGTATTTTCAAAATGAATTTATTCTCAAAATAAAAGTACTGTATTTAAAAAATATATAAATATATATTTTAGATTTGCTATCTGTGGTGTTTCCAGAACTAACAAGGTGGATTCCAGTCTGAATCTTCTGATTAATTAAGCAAACTATTAGGACGTGTTTCTTTGACAGGTGTGCTTTTTCCTTTGAGAGTTTTCCACAGGATCTGTTTCTATATACACACACATGCAGAAAAGTTAGTCCATGTGGAAAGTGGTGTCCAGCGGGGTGTGTCTTTGGCAGTAAAGCGTAGCCTACTGTCTATATTTAGCCCTAAACGCTCTCTTTTCTCCCCCGTGTGACCCTCACTCCATGCTGGAGACATTCCCATATCGGTGCATAGAGAGACGCCACTGACTGCAAAAGAGGGCAAATACGGCGTGAGTGTATGGTGCAGTTGGCTGGTAGTAGTGATGCTGGCAGAACGACTCTCCACTTGGTACGCGCGTTTATAGTCAAGAATACCTCCGCGCATACTGGACGATGCACATTCATAGTTGTTTTGATTTGGAGTTCGTTTTTTTGTAAACGATGGAGGATGGCCAGCTCGTTATTCGACTGCCCGGGCGATCCGGCTCTCCGGTGGACAACAGGAGTTTCAGTGCCGGCGTTGGGTTTGGAGAGACGTTGGTACTGCGTCACAAAGAAGTTCATAACTTCTTTTTCGTCCCCTTCAGGGAGCAGCCCATTTACAGCACGCGGGCCCACGTCTTCCAAATTGACCCCAACACCAAGAAGAACTGGGTGCCCACCAGCAAGCATGCCGTTACCGTGTCCTACTTCTTCGACAGCACACGCAATGTCTACCGCATCATCAGCCTGGATGGTACCAAGGTGAGCTGAAGTCTTCTCCCGTCACGTGCATTTTGCACTTTGTTCAACTGTTGATCACTGCCTTGCTTTTATCGAGATGTCCTCCTTTCACACAACCTTGCTCTTAAAATGCTCAGCACTGTGAAAGCATTGCAGACTGTCACAAGACTCGGAGCTCATGTTTCAACTTGTGTGTGTTTGTGTGTGCATGTAAATACAATTTGCACATGTACTGTATCTGCAAGGCTGTCTGAGTGTTGTGAACAATTTTACCAAATTTTCACAAGAAAAAAAAAATCAGTAATTATATAGAATGACACGTCATAATAGTGCAAAATCAAGTTGTTATTTCTGCTCTGAAATGCTGCGGGCTTGTTTGCTAACTGTGTGAAACAACAACCTGATGAAAAATGGATGCTAATTGGTGTGGTGACTTTATTATGCCTACGCATCTAATACATTACCTTAAACACGGTTGCTGCAAATCCTTAATAAGTGTTCTAAGCCGTTGAAACACTGACTCTATAAATAAGATATTAATCAGCAAATCGGCATTCAAATATCTTAAATGTCTTCAACTTTTGAAAGTCCCAAAAGTCTTGAAAAAAATCACCACATGGTTAGTAGTTTTTTATGATTTTAAAGACTCTCAAATTTCAAAGTAAAATCAACATTCCTTTAAAAATAATTCCACCAAAAGAGCAATTACAGTAGCAGGGACCAGTGAAACAAGGACTGGGGTTTTTGTTGGGACTTTCAAGTGCAGATCGTTTTGAGCAACTATGCATAACACGGTACATTGGGAACATTGTGAAGTCAGTCTTAAATTTAATTTCAAATGGAATGAAAAAAAGCCTTGAATGTAACTTAAGCTAAGATGTAGGAACACGGTTCCCAAATTTCTGCACTCAAGAAATTGTCCAAATCCTGTTTGTTTAATTAAATCACTGTGCGACGTCTCTAATTATTATACTCAACTCAAAAGAACTAAAGGGAACGCTAATACTGTAGTAAATCACAAATTCCACACCTCCATGAATGAAATATTCCAGTCGAAAATTTGTATTCACTCACGAGTTGAATTTGCTCTGCGCAAAATTGTGCACAGTCAGTGGCAACCCAAATCATTAACACATGAATTGAGAACCATACTCGAAATCAAAGTGGACAAATCCGGCTGTCATCTGTGAAATCCAACCACCAAGACGATCGAAATGCGGCTCTTGTGTGCTCTTCATAAAACAGCGGTTCGTCCATATTTTAGTTCCATGAATCATATTGTGGGAGAGCTGAGCGATGTGGTGGGACGCTTTAGGGAATAAGAGGAGGGAGGGTCAATAAGAAAAGCCACAGTCAACATGCTGTGATGATGGCAATGCAACTTCAACATTTTGGCCGGCACCTCACATCACATTAACCCGAGCAAATTAATTGATTCTGTAACGTGCATGCATGCTGACCACAACTCTTATTGATGTCAGTTAATCAGAATGTTCCACAACATCACCACTGATTGATCAGCCGTTAATTAGCTGTGCTCTAGGGATGTCAGATTACAGTATGGAAGACTTAAATGATTTTTTTTTTTTTTTTTCACTGTCAACGAACTGACCCAAGTGTTCTGTGTAAAGTCTCTAAATAATTCATGACCTTTCAACACTGTCTCCAGCTCCCAGCTACGTCTGGAGATATTCTTTGAGGAATCACTTTCCACTGCTTGATTCTGTTATAGCGATTGTTAATAGCGATAACATTGTTATTTCCAGATTAGTCTGTTACGCCGGACAACATCGAATTAGCAAAATTGACTCATTGGTTGAAGGCAAGATGATGCGTTCGCTGTCCACTTACCAGCTGCAACACTGAACTGAATTGTGCTTTGTCACATCGTGAGAAGTGTTTCCCATATTTTGCCCTTCTCACACACTTTTATAAACACAATATTCAAAATGCCTGTCACAGCTGAGCCAATAAATGCATTTCAGTGGACAGCGAACACGCCTGCCGCACTATTTTCTGTGGCCTGCTGAAGCAAATCATATCTGACTACCTGGTGTTTCTTGATAAAAATCTGTGCCAAAACTTTTGATACAACTCTTACATTTGATCGCTTTATATCAGGGGTGTCAAACTCATTTTTGGCGCGGGCCAAATTTTAGTTACCGTTTCACTTGGAGGCATGTTATGAGTGAAACCATATAAAAAAAAGTCAAGAATAACTGTTGATTCAACAATTTTTAAAAGTTATGATAATGAGGGTTTTGGGAACAAGAAAATGCTTAAAATACATCTCTTATTACATATGAGAATTAAAAAAATTTTGGTAGACATTTTAGAAAGGATCATGGAAGTTGACATCTTTGAGCTGCTTTCGCCGGCCATCTAAAATGCTGTGGCGGGCCAGATCTAGCCCCCGGGCCTTGAGTTTGACACCTGTGCTTTTTTATTGTGCAGGTGTTCCTAATGAAATGAGAGCTAAATTGAAATCGCTTCCTCTGCTTCTCCATCTGACCCGCACATACACGCGCATGCATTAAACACACCGTAGTAAGTTCATTAAAAATGTATCAAGTGGCTTTCCTCTGTGCCGCAGGCAATAATTAACAGCACCATCAGTCCCAACATGACGTTCACAAAGACCTCACAGAAGTTTGGCCAGTGGGCGGACAGTCGAGCTAACACGGTCTACGGCCTGGGATTCTCCACCGAACATCATCTGTCCAAGGTAGCTCGACCAACAAACACACACACACACACACACACACACACACACACACACACACACACACACACACTCTCTTTCTTCTCTCTCTCACAAAACACACGGACGCACGCCCACAAACGGTCTCTGGTTGCGCTTCTCTCCTCCTTTCACCAGTCCCTGAGAGAGGATGCCACTTCCACAGATTCTCCATTCTAGTTGCTATGGCTTTTTTTCTCTGAACCTGTTTGGCAGTTTATATTAACCCTTTTGGGGACAGCGGCTACTACGGTGGACAGCTTATCATGTTATACAGGTTACAGGGTGCATGAAAGGGTTAATGAGGATTTTCCCCACATGAAATTCGTGCATAGTATCTGATGATGTGTTTGCATGTGTGTCGGGACTGGGTTCTCTCCTCTGCAGTATGATTTAGCTTTGACACACTAACAGGGGTGTCAAACTCATTTTAGACGTGGGCTAATTTGGAATCATGTCTTCCTCGGAGGGCCGTTATGACAGTAAAACCACAAAATTATGACATGACAAATTAATAGATTACTCGTTTTCAAATCAGTCAAGTAAATTATAATAGTTTGTTCAATTATTGTTCAAGTGGGTGTAAACAAAATTACAGCATTGCAAAATCTTGATCCCGATTTGAGCAAGTTCACACACATGATTTGCTTTCGCGGGCCATATAAAATGATCTGGCGGGCCAGATTTGGCCCTCGGGCCTTGAGTTTGACACCTGTGCTCTAGGACCATCACCACACTCAATAGTCTGGCCACATCCTGTGTGTCAGGCAAAGGTGCTTATAACTAAAGCTGATGTAGAGGACATTTCCTGGCTCACATTATATGTTGTATATTAGTATCAGGTACGACGGTGGCCTCTCCCCCTTCCCTCAATAGTTGCACTAAATCATACCCATAAATCCCTTCACCTTTTTCCTTTAAGTTATTTATATCCAATGGTTCACTCATAAATGCGAGTGTATGATTTTATACACGCTGATGTGATTTGGTCAGCTGCCAGGCCCTCAATTTTAATGTATGGTAGACAGTTACGGCAGGATAGTATTTACGCTCGGCTTTCTTCCTCCGTAAAGTAGTAATTGATAATTCTCCCTGTATCTGACAAGTCTATTATTTTCAAATAGAATGAGTGTGGCGTGTGACTAACCCTTACACCCGACGCACAGCCGGATCGCAATAAAATTGAGAATAAAGCAGTTTATATTCGCGATAAATTACTACTTTTACGTTCATGGGGCTGCTATTAGTGATCAGCCTCCGTAGAATGATCACTTCACGCACCAATCATGGGCTTCAACATTTTTTGCTACACTTGGAGTTATCCAGATGTGACTTCACCGTGTTCACTTTTACTGATAAAATGCAATCACAATACACCTGGCTTCGAAGTGGGAAGGGCTCTCGCGGAGCAGGTTTGGGCACCCCTGCTCTAAAAGCTACGTGGAATAAAAAGCAAATGAGTTACTGTGTGACTACTATCCAAACGCCTGCTGTGAAAAAGATAAATGCAGTACAGCTGTTGGTGGACTACAACGTTTCCACTGTTCGGTACATCTCCTGGTACCTCTCAACGTCTCCACGTTGCCGACTGACAACTAAATCAATCACTTGAATGAGAACAAAGCTATCATATTGCGCCAAAGTGGAATGCGATTGAGTTACTGGCGGCCTTTCTACCAATGGCAGACTTGAGAGCACCTCCAGCAGAAGTGTCGGTTACAGTTCTAAACCGGACTGTCCCTCACTTGGCTGTAGACTTCAACCGGGACGCTTGAAATATCTGCTGTAATGTCGTACGTAAAAGTGGTTCGTGTTCATTAGGCACTGTCATTTCTTCAGCTGGGCTCTTCATAGCCTTGCTCGATTCTTTTGCTTCTTACTAAAATAGGCCTGTGGATCAAGCCAGCGACAAGCTGTGATTACAGAAAAACGAAAAGGAGGACGCAACACTGAATGCCACTCATCAGAACAGCTCCCAATTGATACTGCATATTGTATGTCTGAATTTTTTCATTAGGATGCATTCATTATGCACAGCGAGATTGAGGAAACGGTGGACCGGTGCCATGTCTCCTTATGTTAATAGTATCTTTATCCGAAATTCTTCTTCTCCCCATACTACACACTTTCAAAACATTACATGGAAAAATAACCTCCTTAATGCTCTAGGGCACAGGTGTCAAACTCAAGGCCCGGGGGACAGATCTGGCCCACCACATCCTTTTCTGTGGCCCGCGAAAACAAATCAAACATGTCAACTTCCATGATTGATGCTTGCTAAAATCTTGCAAAATCTGAAATTCTCATATGTAATAAATAACATATATTGTAAGCATTTTCTTGTGTCCAAAGACCTAATCACAGTCACTTCAACAATCGTTGAATAAACCATTATTCTTGACTTCTTCACATGGTTTGACAGTCATAATGGCCCTCCAAGGGAAATGGTGACTCCAATGTGGCGCGCGACAAAAATGAGTTTGACACCCTTGTTCTAAGGACACATTATAGTCAACGGACATCTTTTTAAATTCAATTCCAGAACATTATTGACAACGACAGCTTCTGTCTGACCTACACCGAGCTTCATCAATGGCCGACCTATTACACACTGATGTCATACTCAATGTCTGTGTGTGTGTGTGTCTGTGTGTGTGTGTGTGTGTGTGTGTGTGTGTGTGTGTGTGTGTGTGTCTTGACTTTGGGGATGACTGCAGCATCATTTTTGTTTTTTATTTGACTGGCCTATGTTTTGTGTGTCTAGTTTGCAGAGAAGTTTGCAGAGTATAAAGAAGCAGCGCGGCTTGCTAAAGAGAAAAGTCAAGAGAAGATGGAAATGGCCACCTCGCCCTCTCAGGTAGGTTCGGCCAGTACACAGTCATAAGAATCACAAAACAGAGATGCAAAAGTGAGTTGCATCCATTTTGATCGTGGTAAAGATGGTTGCTGGCCTTTTACGGCGCTCCCGCAACACTATTATCCCCTGGGAGTGTTTAGCTCTTCTTATCTCAGTATAATGGGCAACGTTATATTCATGAACTGGAATAAACAAAGCTCTTCCGGATGACAAGTAGCGTTCATGTGAGCCTTTTCTGCCGAATATTACATAATAGAAGTTTGTGGGTGGAAATGAGAGAGTTTTAATGGAGAAATTGTTGTTAACAGCCCTTTGTGAAGCTAGGAAGCTCGAGAAGGACAATCATCGCACCATCATCACATTCTCATGGTGAAACTAGAAGAAAACTCCCTCTATGAAAAGTTCCGATTTTCCAAATAAAGCCTCAATTTCAAGGATTTACTCCTTTAAAAAAAAAAAGAGGACAGGGAAAATAAAGCCGAGTGTGATAAAGCCAATCTGAATGAGAAATCCCAATCGGTATGAGGAGCGGGAAGTGTAACATGAGACATAATCTCTTATCTCTGACTTCCTTCTTGTCCATTAGGGATGCACAAGCGAGGCCATTGTGTTCTTGCCATAAGTCCTAATAGCTTTGTTTCATGTATGCGGAACATTTAAATGATTTGTCTCCGCTTGCGTGGGACATAAAGATAAGCTGCGCTTGTTCAATTTTCCCAGCGTTATAGTTAATGACCTATCAGCATGTGCAAGTGCTCATAAAGAGTTCATCAGTGTTCGAGGCAGCCGAGCAAGCACATACAAACACACCTCCATCATTTCCCCGGTGAACTATTTATGTATATGGGAAAGATGATTCATTTATGAGGTTCTCTCCTTGCCATCTCCTATAATAAAAGACCCTGGAGATTGAGTTTGTTGTTCTAGATTTTTCTGTTGTTGCACAAAGCCTTGATGAAATCCATGAATTGTGTATGCGTTCCCTTTCAAAAGTATTGCGAACAGCGAGGCGCATTCTTTTTCAGACGGAAAATATTTGGGTTTGACTTCCAAAGAAAAAAATGTGAGACAAAAAAAAGATGAGCTTTTATTTTCAGGTTCTTCCATATGGCTCTGGTACACAACCGATTGTACCTTTTGTTTGAACCCGCCCATTTTCTAGCGGAGCAAAATTATTGGAACACGTAACAGGCAAAGGAGGGTGTTCTTTTCCAAGTACAATTTTGTTGAGTATTTAAATATTAACTAGAGTTTAATACTGTACACTTTTGAAATCTATTCATTTGATTCATTCATTTTTTAAAAGTTTACTTATTGACTTTGAAACTTTTTTTGTCACCTGTTACTTCTGCCCAATGTTGTTGAAAGTACTGCGGGATTATTATGACTCATATTTTTATAAATGCATGCCCCGCGGCACAACTGTTGTCTCCGTGTGTGTGTTTGGGGGAGGAGGGCGTCACATACAAACCCTTGATCAGGGGTAGACGGTAGTCAAGTGCCCACTTCGCAGCGGCCGACTTTAAATCATCCGTAAGTGGAGATCTTGCAGTTCCTTATAAATTTACTTTGCAGGCGCCGATCTCCTGTATGGACTCCAGAAATGCTTATTATAAATGATACAACACCAAAAAAATCGGAGAAATGCTTTGGTGATTGTACACAGTGCCATGAGTCACACTGTGTACCTCATTATTTAAGTCTCTCAACGTTTGGGCCTTTTGTGAGGGGGTGGTCCTGTCTCATGAATAGGTGAGGCGAGGATGGTTTTCGTTACCGTGATGACGGTGAGTAGGCGGATAAATGAGTCAAGCAGCTTCTACTTATTGATGCAAAGCTCATAAAAGCATTTTCACTCGAGGAGGCAGCACTTCATACGCTATACTTAGTATTGGACAGTTAGTGTGCAGACAAGCAATCAATAAAGTAGGCTAATATTTAGTAGTTCAGATCTTTATCCGAACTAGTGAAGGATTAAAAAAATTTTTTTTTTTTTTTTTTTACCTCCAACACCAAAAAAAATGACTAATGCTGTCAACTTTTCTTTCGCCCGAAGGAGTCTCCGGCTGGTGAGCTGTCATCACCATTGACCCCTGTGACTCCGCCCATGGAAAACATCAACGGTACAGATGAAATCTGTGACACGACCCCCAACTCGGACTCCAGACCAGAACCATCACAAAATGCGCTGGCCTTCGCTCATAGGTACGTCGCCCAAGCTGGCGTCCGCCATGCTGCACCAGACACAGGCGCCCTACTTCCTGTCTTGTCACTTTGAAGCACACAATGTGCACTTTTTTTTTTTTTTTTTTGCTTGTATGAGACAATAAATATTTTTTTTAAGTTGTTGCCATGTCAGCGAGGTGTTGCTGTTCTTCCCCTATTCATCACTGCTTTCTCGTGTCTTTCCCCTCTAGGGAGCAGTTTAAGACTTGTCGGGTCTGCTCTTTCTGATAGGGCCGTCATTACATGGCTGACTACTGCTGTACAGAAATACAATAAATATTCAAGTAAAAAAAAAAAAAAAAAAAAAGAGATGAGTCTAAAAGCTGATAAATATGCATGCCATGACTCCTGGACATGCTGATATTTGGATGCATTGATTGAACTTATCGCTCTTGGACCAATGTGACTCCAGAGTGGATCTCAGGAAATTTTGGGAGTCAATTTTAAACATATACTTGTTGATAAACTTGTATTTCTTCATATGTTAGCCAACTTCAATGCATTGTTTTTGTACGCAACCGCAATCTAATGACGTGTGTATTTGACGCTGCATGCTGTTGTATTGTTCCTCTTAGTAGTGGCTTATGTGACTTGTGACAATGCTAATCTGATCCAGTTGCAATGTTGTGAGATCAGATATCAAATATTCGAGTGCGGTGCACTCATGAGGTTTATGTCCAAAAAGGTGAATTGTTTTATAAGGCTTATGCAACACAAGGTGTGCAGTGGGTGGATGGAAAAAGACAGACCTCTCTCTCTCTTTCTCTCTCTCTCTCTCTCTCTCTCTCTCTCTCTCTCTCTCTCTCACACACACACACACACACACACACCCACACACACACACACACACACACACACACACACACACACACACACACACATACAAACACACACTGGAAACAATGACAATAAATTTAAGCTTCCAAAATTGAGCTGCTCTGTTCTGAGGAATGTATCATTTGCTGTCACCTGTCTGTAATCTTGTACCAATCTTTTGAATTTTCCTCAGTCGTCTGAATTAAAGGCATCAATCTTGTAATGTATTATCATTCAATAGTTTCAAATGAAAGTACAGGTTGGAGGGCTTTGGTGGGGATTTAATCATATGCTTCCAAATGGGTTTAAAATCTTAAAGTGTGAACGCTTCGGAATTCCCAGTATTCCATCATGAATTCTTTATGGCTCCAGAGAAGCTGTGTGCCGTGAGGGCGGCTTGTAGTGAGGTGTGTGTGTGTGTGTGTGTGTGTGTGTGTGTGTGTGTGTGTGTGTGTGCGTGGGAGACAGGCTCCACTCAGGAACTCGCCATTGCAGGCATGGACATAACAAGCAAACCTCTGTCTTTTCTCATTTTCGAGACATACAGTATGCAAAGAGCGTTGCTGCAGTATTCTACATTTGTCTCTTACATTATTATGTGCTGCACTGAAAAAAAATGGGTCTTTTGAATTGATATTTTAAAAAAGTATCGACGTTGGTTGCTTGCATTCAAATTACGTTTCATCAGCATGAATAGGATTTTATTTCGTGAAATATTCACATTTGTGAAACATAATTTTAATGTCTGGAACCAGTTTGCAGACTTTTAAAAAAAATTTTTTTTTAATGCAAATGCATTTTTTTATTGTGTCAGGAACATTTTAGATGGTGGCCCAGCAACCAGTTACGGAGGCTAGACGATATACTTTATTACTGTGTGGTGTGCTTTGATGTAGATGGCAGAGGAAACACAACTTTCATCTAGTTAAGACCAAAATTACTCATACACTGGTTCGAAAAAGCTTTTTTTAAATTGGTTTATTTTGACAGAGGGAAGCCTGAAATATATATTAAACAGGAAAAAAAATCTTTGCATTATATACGGTTTGAAAATAATTTATATAGCAAGTACTTTAAAGAAAATCTTAGTGACTTCTAGCATCATTTACAGCATTACAATTATGAACCATTAATTTCGAGCTTTGGCTAGTAGGTTAATTGAAAATTCTAAATTGTGAATGTGAGTGAGAATGGTTGTTTGTCTATATACCATATGCGTTTCCCTGGTGACCGTTCCGGGTGTACTCTGCCTCTTGCCCCTCTGTGCCCCTAATGAATATAAGCAGTACTGAAATTAGAGGGACGGATGCTGCATTGCGAAAAGGTGGCTAAAAAAAAAATCATTTTTCTTCATTAGTATCCATCCATCCATTCATTTTTTAATCCGATTATCCTCACAAGGGTCGCGGGCGTGCTGGAGCCTATCCCAGCTGTCCTCGGGCAATAGGCGGGGGACACCCTGAACCAGTTGCCAGCCAATCGCAGGGCATTCTTCATTAATACACAGTGCTAAATAATTAATGATACTGATTCACCAAATAAAAATTGAATTCACCGTAACTTAAAATTTGTTTTTGTTTTTTTTTTTCTTATCACAGCCGCTTTTTGCTGGGCAGAGGGTTCATAGGGTTTAAACATAATGGCCGACAGAAAAAAAAAATTGCCACATGTTGCACAAACTCTGGCCTGTCCCACTGCACAGAGAAATAACTGAACACACACGGAGGAAATAAATGTAAAACAACACTCTCAAGATGATACCGTGAAAATATTTTATTTCTACACACTTTGTAATTGAACCACTGCTCTGTATTAAATATAATACACACAGACGGAAAGACAACTGCTCCTTGTATGTAAAATCGCCATTGTCTGTTGTTGAATTGCGGATGTGGGATGTTTTACTTGTGTACTTTTTTTCAACTTTCATCTAAAAACGGCACTCGTTTTGTGCTTGTATGTGTAATCAGAGGATTTTTTTTTTTTGCCAGCGTAGGCCCTTGTGTGTGGGTGCTTGGGGCAGAAGCAGCAAGTGGAGCATGACAGACAGCTTTTATACCGCTTGATGTGTTGGAGGGCTGCGAGGAGTTTTATTTCTTTTTTTTTTTTTTTTTTTTCCCTGCCATGGTCTTGAGTGAACGGGGGCGTTGCGTATGCCAAACGTCACGGCGCCGTGAGCGCCTTCCTCCGCTGCTGCCATGGCAACTGCTTCTTGAAAGGTGCTCAGTGAGGGGGAAGAAGTAACCTGACGATGCCGCGACGTCAGGGCACGTGTGACGCAGAAAAGAACTCCGGAATCACACGCGCTTAGTTGATCCTTTGAGGGCATTTCTATTTAGGAAGGAGTAAAGCACAAGATAACATAATGGTTTGGATCAGGAGTTAGGCAATCGCAGCAGCGGGTACAAACCATGCAAGCGGTTCAAAGTGATGATTTTTACAAATATAATAAAATCCGATGGTACTTTCAAGCATAGTGCGCAGAAGTAACAGTTTAACATAATAAGTCAACTTTTCAAACTTTTGCGTGCGCTTCATCAAGCCTGGTCCGTTGAAGATGGCTCTATTATAAGACAAACAAAAAAATAATACAACTGAGTAGTAGATTAGTCCAAGTAACACAACACAACAAATGTCGCTAAAGAATTCCAAAACAATAATGAACTTACCGTCCATTTGACCCTCACGCTTCCCACATTATTCAGAGCCCAAATTCAGCCTCCAGTCAGAGTCAATTAATGGTGATAACGGTCACATTTCTCCACTTATTACTCCGTCGCTTGCTTTTTTTGCCTTCTCCGTCTGACTCCGTCTTTACTTCTTGACGTCCCGCCTGCTCTCCTCTTCTCCGAGCGCCTGTGTGGGGTTTATACATTGACTTGCCTTTGGTGACAGCATGTGTGTGTGTGTGTGTGTGTGTCTGTCGGTTCAAATGTGTAGGACGCCGTGTCGTCTCCCTACTATGCGTCACACACGCTCACACAGACGCACTCGCACTCCAAGAGGGGGCGGCTGTTGTGTAAGAAGCGAAGGCGCCGTAGGAGTGTTGAGTGAATTAGATCAGGGATTTTTCTCCTTTACTGTTGACGGAGTGGGTGCTGTTGGAAATAGTGGAATTCTGCACATACACGCAAAGTTTCTGTGTGTGTTTGTGCTGAGGAGAGGGTAGAACAGAAAACCTCAATTCTGAACTTTCAATTTTGTGGCCCATAAGTCTTCTTCCTTCTCACGTGTGCCGCTCATTCACATATATTCACTTTCTCCCCTAGTTGCATTTCTCCTCTTCTCATGGAGCTGGACCAGATTAGGTTTTACACTGTCTGGGGATATAATCTCAGATTACAATAGATTTGTCAGATGGCTACTAGATGGTAAGATGGCTTCCGGTTTTGGGATCTGCTGCAGTCTTTGTCCGCATGGATGGAGCATTGGATATGTAGGTGAATGGATGAATGCATGGTTATGGCGAGTGGATTGGATGAAGGACGGTTGGTTGAGTTGGAGGTGGATGGATAAGGGCACGACTGATAAGTGTATGGATGAGTGCATCGAATGTTAACGTCGTATCATATTTTCCGCACTAAAAGGCGCACCTAAAAGCCTTCCATTTTCTTAAAAACTCACAGCACGCCTTAAAATCCGAAGCGCCTTGTGTATGGTCATTACGGTAATATGTCAACCCCAAAATGGCTCCTTGCTAGAGACTTGCTTACAAGTCAGAGTTCCAACTTAAGCCGACCGGTTTCGCAGTTGAACACAGAAATAGAGCAGCGGCAAGAGAGTTCAACGTTAACGAGTCAATGTTATAACTTGCTGTTGGTTAAGTGAACTGTGTCGCAGCTTTAGTAAATAAGTATTACTGACATCTGATCGTCTCTATATAAATCAGGGTGTACTGTAATGTAGTGTTGTTGGTATTTCCTTGAGCGTAGCTCCATCTAGTGGATGGATTGTAGATTGCGTCTTATAATGCGGTACGTCCAATATATGAAAAAAATTACAAAATAGGCCATTCATTGAAGGTGTGCCTCATAATCCAGTGCACCTTTTAGTGTGGAAAATACGGTACTCGAATGGTGAATATAAACGGAGAAGGGCTAGTGGACGGACATAAAAGTCTGTAGGTTAAGTTGATTGATGGATCATTGGTGGAATGACGTATTTATGATTAATGGATGCATTGATGGAGTGGCAGAGATGTGTACGGATGATTAGTGGATGGATAGATTTCTCTGTAGGTTGCTCAGTGGATGTATGGGGAGCTGGTGGATGGATTAAGAGACAGCAGATGGACAATAGAATGAAAGAAAATTGGTGGATGGATAAGTGGATTGAAGCAAGGAAGTCTGATAGATTACATGCACCCCCTGCGAGCTTTGACTGTGTGATGTGAAAATGTAACGCTTGCTATTGACTGGCAGACTGTGTTCAAGTCAGTTTGTGATCGCCGCGCATGATTATGTCCCGCAGCCCAGCGATGACGAAACACTGGGAAGCCGAGTTGGAGGCACTGAAGGGGAACAATGCTAAGCTAACGGCGGCGCTGCTGGAGTCGACTGCAAACGTCAAACAGTGGAAGCAACAACTTGCTGCCTACCAGGAGGAGGCAGAGAGACTACACAAACGAGTAAGCGGGGGGAGGGGTGGGGGGAAAGGTGACTTGTTCTTTTGGATACGCAAAATACATTTGGTGCAAGATGAAGCTCTCATCATGTGAGGCTTTGGAGAGGGAATCAAAGAAGAGTTTTGGCATGCAGATAAAGAGCAGCTCATGATAATGATCAGTTTCATTGAGCCCATGTCTCTCTATGGACCTGAATCCTCAAGTTTGTTCTTTTAGGTGACAGAACTCGAATGCCAGAGCAACCAAAGCCCGGCCATCAAATCTCAGAAGACAGAACTCAACCAAACCATAGAGGAACTGGAGGCAACACTGAGGGACAAAGAGGAGGCGAGTTTGTGTCCCAAACCTGCACCTTTACCCTCTTGTTTTTCACCATTTTAATGTCTCTTGTCATTTTCCAGGAAATGGAAAAGCTAAAAGAAGAATTGGAAAACATGAATGACCTCATGGAGCAGAAAGACACCCTCGCCCAGAAACTGGAGGTGAGCCCTCGTCCCTTTGAATTATAGATGCTCGTCATGTCCCAAATGTGCCATTTGCTTTTGCCTCAAAAGGAGACGGAACTCCGCAGTCGGGTGCTGGAGCAGCAACTGGCCGGGGCCGAGCAGCGGCTGGAAGAGACTCAAGAGGAGCAGGAGAATTTCAGGAAGAGCCTGCGAACGATGCTGGAGTTGCTGGACGGCAAGATCTTTGAGCTGACCGAGCTCAGAGACACCCTGGCCCGACTCATAGAGGAAGCCAGCTAAGAAAAGGAGCTGCCACACGTCTCCATTACAGAGCCATACAACCATTCACAAGACCTTCCTCATGACCGTGACCACGATGAAGCTTTAGAGCCCCCGAACAGCTGAATGCGGTCCTGCCCCTCACAGATCGGATAAAGAGAGTCATTGAAACTGTGTATCATTCCTTCTTTCCATTTTCAATTGGACAAATCAAAACACTGACCGTATATTTATTTGGGATAACTGTAATTAGTCATAGACAGGTCCACTCTGTCACCATCTACTGGTCAGTATGAGAAATATTGACGTGACCACTTCCGATCATTCAAATTAGATACATAAGCAATTTTTCGAGTTGAGTCTTGTGCTACGTTCTATTTTTTTGTGTAGAGATTAAAATTGAAAGCAAGACGGGAGTCAATCAGTGACTGACTGACTGACGGAATGCCCACTTCTGCCAATTACCAAATGAGACACCAACCAAACACAACCAATTAATCAAACTCAAATTGATTGCTGAAAAATCTCTTTGGTGTGTGTGTGCGAGTGTGTGTGTGTGATTGTGGAAAAAGTAATAACAAAAGTATCAGCCACGTTTTAATTGAATATTTTTCGATTGCCAATTGATAATGGAAAGAACAAACAATACGCGGGTTTTCAACGATATCTCATTGAATTGTTTTTGTGAAGCAAACTCCAAGCCACTCTCACACGCCCACGTGCACACTCCCACACTCCCACTCTTTGTGCCTCAGCGCCATCTGTTGTTTGACTGCAAGAACTACACTACATCACAGCTTGCAGCAGCGCATCGCGATCTTTCGCTCGCCCCTGACAAACGCGGAAAGTCATGAGGAAACAATTGCTGTTAAGACGCTCAAAATTTTTTTTGCCAAAGCTGCCAGATTTCCTCAAAGGGTGTCCTCACGCGACGCAGATTCAAAGTGACTCGACTGTACAGAGAAGCAACCAAGTATCACAGTACCAGAGAATGAAAGGACAACTTTCTACAAAAACGCAAAGCAACATCACGGATGCTCCCAAGTCTGGACGCACAGAGCTATCGGCCTGTCGCCAAACTGCATTACGATAAGTTGATGCGCCACCTACAGTTCTTGATCATACTTGGCTAGCAGTGGTCTTTCATATGAAAAACAAACAAACAAAAAAATCGGTGGGGCCTTGACCTTTTACAGTAGATGGACCCTGTACCACAAAAACGTCTCGGCCATCAGAAGGGTCCATTAAATTTTCTCCATGAAAATATAATGCAAAATTAATCCTTAAAAATGTTTGAATACAACACACACAATGTTTTAGTTAACATTTTAGCTTCGGTAGTTGTCAGTTAATAGTAAAATCTGTTTAGTTCATCTCTATAACCATTTTCGTCTTTGTCTGATCGCAGACACCCTTGAAAAAGATGGTACAGTGTTCCCCTGCTTATTTGAATATCTACTCACGGTTTTCATCTATTTGGAGATTTTTTTTAAATCGCTCCTCCATTGTTCACTGACAAAGGCACTTATTCCTTGTGTTTTTTGGGTTTTTTTTGCACAGGCCATAACCCCGTCTAATATATATTATAAGTATTGCTTTGGCACCATCTTGTGTCAAATAACTATGTTGAAGTGAGTTGAGGGGCTTTGTGCAGTGCTTTTTTTGCCAGCTTGTGGCATTCATAAGTAATTTTAAACCTTTTGAAGGGGCGTCAATTACATACACTGCTGTGCTATTGTGTGATGTTCAGTACTTTTACTTCCAATTCCTCTTTTGACAATGGAGAAGAAAAATAACACAGACAACCCTTTGTGATTCAACATACAGAACAACCAAATCAAAATTATAACAAGGCTAAAATTATATTTTATCATGTTATTAAGCACAGCAATGACCATGTATGAAGGGGATAGCTGGGATTCTGGGGTTGTGTAACGACTCGTTGCCAAGAAGAATTCATGAAAAAACAATCATGTACTGTGGCACCTTGGGGAAGGAGGCCTCTGAGGCACCACACAGCAGAAAAGGACCTGCAGAATCGGCAGCGACACACAATTTAAGAAGTTAGGATTGAAGCTATATTTTTATTTATAGTACAAAGAGGTACCTTGACTTCAACGTTGGATTTGTTTAACTCGTAAATCAAGGTACCCCTGTGTACATAAATGACATTCTAGAATCATTACTCTGTGTCTTAAAAGATTTTTTTTTTCACCACAGTGCCATCTGCTGTATCTGGTGAGGCATTGCTCCCCACTTGCCCTCCATGTTACAATCACCACCACTTGATCGAAGATGTAAACCTTCCATCGCTGTTATTGTGCCACACGGTAAATTTCGGAAAGCTCGGATGGGCCTCGCGAGTGACTCGCATCCAGACTGCTTCCACCATCGCAGGCAACTGAGCTGTCTTCCTGCCAAACTCAGTGTGGCGTGCGTGTGTGTGTGTGTGTGTGTGTGTGTGTGTGTGTGTGTGTGTGTGTGTGTGTGTGTGTGTGTGTGTGTGTGTGTGTGTGTGGAGCTTTTGACATTTCAGTTGAAAAGTGTGCCTTCCGAGCACACGCCAGCGGACATACCGAATCTTTGTACATACAATGTGTTTATTTGTGCCGTGAGAGAGCGTGTTTTGAGGACCCCCCACCACACACACACACACACACACGCTGAGCAATACCAGACAGGCTCCGCTCCGTACAACACTTCTATGTCATTCTATCAGGTACTTTTTCTTCAAATGGACTGCACACACACAATTGCAGCTGATCCACACCCCAACCAACAGGAAGTGAAACTGCTGTTGACCGCTAATCTGTGTGGCAGCCCCGCTGGTCAAAATCGTTGCATCTCGAAGGGCTTCTCGAGTGTTCAATCCACTTGTTGTGTGAAGTGACTTTCCACCCTCGGTGAAATTGGCCACAGCTTTTCACTCCTGTGGGTGAACACAGAACTTTCCCCCACACCCCCTTTGATTTTATTTCTTTTTTACACTGGATATAGTAGTGATAAAATTAGAGACCCATATACGACAACTTTGTACTCGTGTAAATGAATTGAAGACCCTGCAGTGACTTATTGTTGTGTATTAACCCATGGAAAAGTGTTACTGTAGAGTTGACTTTGTAAGCAAACGATGACAACCTCTTGTCTATATCGAAACTGAAAGAGCTTAACAGTGCAATACTCATATATACCTATACCGGGTTGATTATGATGATAAATCCGCAGCTTCTTCTGGAAATCTTTGCCTTTTGACTTTCAAGGTCTCCCAAATTTTTTTAAAAAAAAACCTCACACAAGATGCTGCAACTTCTACAGTCACATCATGAAATGAACACTTTGTTTCCACTGTGTAACCACACTTTTTAACCACGTGATGTAACTTTCACACAATAATTCTCTATTTAAACTAGTTAGTTGCACAGGTTAATACACTGGAATAAGGCCCATGTATGGAACGTTATCCAAAATGTTGACTTTTGAAGTAGAACACCGAAATATAACATGCTTAAATTGCTGACGAATGCCTTTGTACAGTAGTGGATATAAGAAGCTTTTTTCGTTTTCTTGTTTTGTAATGTATGGTATTTAATGTAGGTGACATTATTGTATTTAGAGGTATGAGAAGACTGGCAATATTTTTGACTATTTAAAGTAATTTTGAACTCATGATATTAAAGACGTACCTCAGGATAATGATGTTTGTACACTGGTCAGACCCCCTGCAGGATTTAAAGAAAATGAAGAACATTTGGAACAAACTGAAGAACGGACCTGTGTGGACTAACATGGAACGATTTGTATTCCAAAACACATCAATCAAACCGAAGAATGTATTTTGCATCGCAAGGTTTTATTTAAATGTAGGAGAAAGGTTGTAAAAACAAACCATCAAACAAACAAAATGATTTGTAAGTTGAACAGCAGAAAAAAAAAGCATTTGGGGAAATATGTCGAAGCATTTAAATGTTGCTGTGTGAGATGATTATACATGTTTGAGTGCCTTTCTTTGTACTGGTAGAACAAATCTCAAATGGGGGACAAATAGTCAGGCCGCACGAGTCGACGTAGAAGACGTTCACGTTTGGCTGAAAAGGCTGAGGAAGAGAAAGGACGAAGTCGGCAATGACATGCAAAGCAAATACATTAGTGACGTTACATTAAAAAGCTTGTTGATAAAACGTAAGGGAAAAAGTGCTTTATAAGCCAAACTGCACAGAATGTTTCTGTTCATTGACAAGTACAATTGGTGATCCTGGTCAATTTTATTGTGAGATGAAGTTATGGAATATGCTTGTACATCAGGGTTAAGATTTAATAAGCAGTTTGATCTCATGCACAGAAAAGCCGCTCTCTGCCATTCTGAACGCCTCAAGTTTTTGGATTTCAAACAGCTTTATAATGAGAAAAGTACTTCAGGATCCTCGCATGGGCAATAAGCAAGAGAGTGCATACACATTTTTAGCAATACGTCATGACGAAATGTTCCATAATTGGGGCTTTGAAATGGACTTAACTCACTGTCCGCGTAAATTAAGTCAGCATATTAAAGTGATGAAAAGAAGCACTGTAACTAGGTGAGCCCTGATCACCTCTGATTGGAACTACCCTATCCCTTGACAATTGATCTGTCCATGCCATCTTGCTCTAAGCCAGTCATATGCATACAGTACTGAGAAAGCTTATGGTGGCCAGCGTGGTATCCTCATGGTCAGCACATGAGTGTGAATTGTTTTTTTTTTTTCAATATGTGTCCTTGCGATTGACTGGCAACCAGTCCAGTGGGGCGCTCCATGTCAGCTGGAATAGATTCCAGCTCACCCGCACCCCCAATGAGGCAAAACGATATAGAAAGTGAATAACTGGCTGGATGGATGACGCTTATGGCTTCAGTTTCCCAACTGATGATATTTAACATCATTCTAGGCTTCTGACTGTGTGGGAACAGTTTGGGGAGGGTCCTTTTCCGTTGCAGCATGACATGAAGGCCTCGGATGAGCGATGTGTGACTCTACTACTGACCTCACATGTTAGTGGGCAAACATTTCCCAGCTTGTTACAGTTGTATTTTTGTGATGCTGTAGGTGCGCACAGAAACGTGTCCCAACACTTTTGCCCATTTCATGTAGTTGCAGTCTTTGTACAAAACACGATGGAGCTGCCACTTCTAAGTCAAATAGTTACATAAAGTAGCCACTAATATTTCTGCACACATTGGATGACAACTTAGCGTGTGGGTAGCGTGTGAGTAACTGACTTCCAACTGAGCGTGACTGCCTACTCAAGTGTGAGCCTGTGTGGAGAAAGAAGCGAGGGGATAAGTTGATCACCAGCCACCAGTGAGTGATGGAAAGCCTCCCACATTCTATACAAAGCTCGGGAATCTCCTACTGTTCTTCGCAAATTCTTCACAAAAACACGTTTTGCTCCTTCTGTGTGGCACTTAACCCATGAGCTGCCGTGCCATATCTCTATCATGTTGAATGCTGCAGTTGAGCAGATGGTCATCCTCGCTGGATGAGGAACATGGGGGTGATGAAAACAGAAGACGACAGGAGGGGGAGGGGGATGACTCCAGTGTGACATGCTAAAGGATTTACTGCTTATGTGCAATGTCACATTCGACAAGTGGCGCGCCTCTACTGTCGTGCCTGCACAACATCACGAACACGTGACACCCACGTGCAGCACCCGCTCATCGTATGCAGGTAGGGCAGAGCATTTTGAAGATGTGACAATGGTATTGCTTCATGGTTGGTCATGTGATCTTATTTTAAACCTCCGAGGGATTTGTATTCTTATAATCCATATGACCCCAATTTACAAATCGTGTCCATGAGCATTTTTGTGATAATGGCAAGCATTCTGCCTGAGGTTTACATTTCATATTAAGGGTCAGTGCAGTCGGTTCATAAAACGTGGCTGTGTGGTTACAAACGACACGACTGAATAACTACAAATAAATATAGCATAATTACAGTGTGGAAGAATGATATACAATAATCGTAAGCAGCGTGGAAAATTATAAGAAAAAATGAACAGGGTGATCTATATTTGGTGATTCTTCGTACGACGCATCCTCACATTTGTGTTGTCATTATTGCCGCTTTTCCATTAGAAAGGTTCTGCCAAAACATTTCACAAGTGGCAAGTCTCAGCCATTGTCTTTAGTGGCAATTAAAAATGTGAATTGCAGTTGCGTCATGTGGCCATGCAGCAAAGTCAAGCCCATCAAATGCACAGAAGAAATCAATTTTCGGGTTTAGGTCAACGAGGCACCGTCGGGCCGCCGTCAAGATAAAAATACAATAACCCAGTACACACAGTTTTAGATCAACATTGAACCATATTTACAATTTCATATGTACCATGGATGAAATAGTATGATACTGATTTCGCGAGTGACACACAAAACTCGCCGCCAACACTCATTCATTCGGAATGTAGAGCTCAAATTCACTCATTTGGCTGCCTCGCCAAGTCAACAGCTTGTCATCGTCATCGTGTCCGAAGCCCTCCAACGGCCACCTAAAGCCGCTAGTTCCGAGGCCGATTGTGCTCAGAGAGCGGCGAGGCTGCTCACTGTTTCTGGAGAACTCTCATTCAAATGAATGGGAACTGCTGAGCAGTGCATGTTAACCATTAATCGTGAAAAAAATAATCCATTAGTACATATGAAATTCTAAATAAGGCTCAGCGTTATTATAAAACGCTATGATGTTCGTTTGAGATACTGTCGTCGGCCAATCAGATGACAGTGACGACACGACCCCACACAGTTCCAGACAGCAGGCTCTTTAGAACCCCCTTTTAGATGGTTCTGAAAAGCGCTTCCATTGTCACCGCTACACCACAAAAACGTCGAATGGAAAAGCTACCACTTCTGGGCCAAAGCCAAGCCGTCTCGGTGTGGAACCGAGCTAATGGAAAAGCGCCATAAGTGTGGAGTGCTATCGGGTACAGAGTCCAATCCGATCCCAATAGGGTACAGCAGTGTAAGAATGTACCTTGAGGGACAGAAATCCACTCCTATTTGTGACTGTGTAGTGCTATTAGTTGCGTTTTGAGTGTCAAACACTAGCTTTCCCAGTCGGGCCCACCCGGGCCATCCTCATCAGAGTCCGACTCCGGTGATGCCTCCTTTATTCTTCGTAGCGCTTCATAGATGCTCCTGGTCAGAGGGTCTCTGGAGGCAGCGGTCTCCTCCTGGCCTTTCCTTTCTTGAGGGGGGACTTGTCTCAGTTTGACACCCTTGCGGATCTGAGCTAAGATGCTGTTGGAGTCGTCGTCACTCTGGGCAGCGGGAGGGACGGCCCGCTGCTCGACCTTCTTCAGGTGGAAACTGCCTCTCTTCAGGGAGGCCAGCACTTCATCCATGGGGGAGCTCCCTGCGTAGAAGAAGACAGAAAACAAAAAATCCTTTGATTCGTCATGGGTCTGAATCAGTCCCTACTGAAGTACAAAATGTACATATCGCCACTGCAACTGACGAGGTCAAACGGCTGAACACCAAATATGGTCGCAGTACCTCGTCTGCTGTGGGCCTCAAAGCCTGGAGTCTTCCTCAGTTTTTTGCGGGCGCTCACCAGTTGGCTGCTGTCAAAGAAGCGAGGATGGAAGGGGCCAAGTGGGGAGCGAGGCCGCTCCTCCGACACACTCTGCTCCTCAGCCTTCTGTCTGCCCGGGCTCCCAGAGGGGGAAACCTGTTCTCGTATTGGCAGGAGAGGCAGGGGAGGGGGTGGAGGCGGAGGTGAGGCCGGGGATGCCAGCAATGACGACAGGGAGCAAGGAGAGCAGAATGAGTCTGCGGGACTGGGCGCGGGCAAAAGAGGGAGCGACTGCGCTGCCAGGCCTGTGACGGGCTGGGTGGTGAGCGTGGAGCTGGGGTCCGTCTGCACGCTGGCGCTGAGGCGCGGGGGCCGCCGGGCCGGATCTTGTGCGCCGGTGGGGTCGGAACGCTCCGCCCTTTCACCATCGGAGTCCGTTTGCATAATCCTGCCGCGCTCTCTCCTTCTGCTGTGGGCCGCACGCAAACGCGTGGACTTGAGAATCACCTGACCCGGGTAGCGCTGGACACACAGGCATGAAGATCAGCTGGGAAAAGGAAGGAGAAATCCGGCTCAGGTCATCAAGTGTACCTGCTTGAAGGTGCGAAGTCTATCGAGAGTCCTCTGTCTTTCTTGACGCACTCTGCTACTCTTTCGCTCATCTTCCTCTTCATCGTATTTCGGCTGTGAAGAAATATACAGATAAGTGTCATGTGTTTCAATTAAGCAGGCGGTTAAAAGGTCAAGAAATGTCCACCTGTAAGATCTGATGAGAGTCTTTCTGCGCGCTTTGACGCATCTGCTGTTTCTTAAAGTGGTTTGATACGCAGATCTCCTGCAGAAGGACAAGTTTATTTACATCTCTCAAAAAACTCTGTCAATCATTGTGATTTTTGTCAATTTGGTAAAAATAAACGTTTTAACCTGGCGGAGATATGTATCTTCCTCCTTAAACATTTATTCAGAGTTCCTATATCTTAAGGCAGGTTAGACATGAGGCTTTTTTGGTTTGAAATTACATCTCAGACTAACTTCACATTTCCAATGTCCCATGTTGTCCAAAGTTGATGTGCATCTGCTATTAAGCCTCTCAACTAAAAAACACATCACTGTTTTGTTGGTTCCGCAATCGTGATTGTGTGATATTACCACCAGATTTATTTGGTCAATTTTTTCTTTTTTTTTTAATTTTGAGATTCGAGACTACTGGCATTTACAATCATAAAATCTTTCGTAACGTGGTAAAAAAAAAAAAAAAAAAAAAAGATTTAAGACAGTCAAATGCTAATTACAACCTTGTTGTTTAATTCTTGATTTCAATGTGTTTGAAAATGTTTTAGGGATCATGAGAACCATGTTATTAACCCTTTCGGGGACAGCGGCCACTGCAGTGGACAGCTTATCGTGTTGTCAGGTTACAGGTTAACATCATTGGTGCATGAAAGGGTTAAAACAGGAAAGGCTACAGGATGCACTTAGTATGCGCGTAGCGCAGGCGTACACACCCTCTTGCTCTTCAGATAGGAACGCTTGGCGGTGATGCGTCCCCTTCTCGCTTCCAGTTGTCGCACGCTGACCTGAAGCCGGTGCACTTCTTCCATCTCGGCAGTGTCCTCCGCCGTTATGTCGTCAGCGCTTTCAAAAGTGTCGTAGTACACCACCTCATTCTGGTGCTCTGCAAACACATACACATTGTAGGGTATTGTTTTGACTCTGTTTTTATTGGTTTGATTTATTTCATCACATAAAAGAAAAAAAGCAGTCATAAATGGTGACATGAAAAGTCAAAATTGCAACGCAAAACAACAAAGAGAAGATAAAGTATTAAGTTTTAGACCCCCTTTTACAAGAAAATTTCACTCCTATACTTATTTCCACTGCTTTAATTCTAAATTTAAATTGTGGTATTTTGTGCTTTTGCACTGTACTGGCTTAGCCTTTTTTTTCAGTTTTGTCTAATATTCATCGGTAAGATAGCTTATTGTTTGGAATATTATAAAACCAACTAAATCATGGAATTTCAAAACCTTATATTTTATAAATAATACGTTCGAGCAGGGCTAAGCAAAGTATGGTCCGGGGGCCACATTCGGTCTGGCTATAGTCTCTGATAGGGCCTGACAGTGACCATAAAGTCAAAGTAATTTTGAAAGTAATGTTTTTAAAGTGCACACATGTGTGGATGCTAGTTCAAAACAGGTAGCAAGCAAGAGATTGTGTCTGCAGGGTTGCCAATTTAGCAATTTTTTGTTATGTTGAGCAACTTTTCCAACCCATTCAGCAATTATATTTCCAAAAAAGAGACGAGTAAATTGACAACAGTGGTCCTAATGTTAGTGACGTTCCTTCACGGATTTCCTGCACGGTGGAGGGAATCGTGTCAACTTAGCTCAACTTTATTTATAGAGCACCACCAGAGCTGTACACAAAGTGCTGTACATAAAAATTAAACAAATCTGACATATGAAAACCAAGAGAGTTAAAAGAAGAAATTGATCACATTAAAAAAGTAAAAACTATTTTTTTTAAATGCCAATTGGTTTGAAAGCACTGTACGCAAAGCTATTTCCCACTTATGTACATATTTGGGAGTCCTGTCTCGGCACAGCTTTCAAAAACATTTATGTTATTATGTTTTAAAGGGTAATAAAATTATTTATTTATTTTTTTTGTTTTTGCTTTTTCATAAAGGATAAGGGGTTCAGAAACCGGATGGATGTATTTTAAAAATACATAACCATATCTACATCCGTAGCAATTTACTGAAACAAGACAATCCACCTTTTCTAAATCCATTCAAACTAATATAAACAAAGTTGAGTTTAGCCGTCGGCAAGCATTCCAGTTTCTCATGTGGCCGATTTGCAAAATCACTCAGTAGACGAGAACAAGCTTTTGCACCAAAAGCAACCGCACCTTTTGGAATGAAGACATACCTGTCATTTGTCTTCGAACGCTGTCTAGCTGAGCAGTGAGAAGCAGCTCCTCACACTGTAGGATCTCAGCCTGGATATCATAAAGTTGGAGCTGTAGCTCATAGTACTGTGACTCCATCTGATCCAATAGGGTCATCGCATCCTCACCGCTACACAGGCTCTGCATCTGAGGGGGAAGCGCTTGTATTCGTGCATGGAGAAATATTCTGGACATGTTTGCACCCTTGCATACCTCCTCTCGAAGGGTGTGTTTCCTCTGCTCCAAGCTGATTTCCCGGGCTCTTTGCAGCTGCAGGGTTTCCTTGGCGACAGAGTAGCGGATTCTCTCCATGCGCTCCACTGCTGCTGTCCATGAAGCTTTACCAAACTTACGCTGGTCCACCTTCATACGCTCATAAACACCTGCAAAAAAAAAAAAAAAAAAGATCAAACTCCAACAAGTGAACAGTGATTGCAAGCAGCCAATACCAGCAAATAACAAGATCGTGTTAATTGGAAATACTGTACTGCACAGTGGGCTAAGGATGGGATTTGAGACATCTAGTGCTCATTTTTGGAAAGTTATTTCAGTTGGTGGTTGAAAGCGGTTAAAATGCACAGAGGATTCAGAGCTCCACTAAGGTGGAACATCAGTATCTTTTCATCATCTTGCATCTGAGGGTGGTAAGTAGGTCATCTTCTGCTTTTTGTCAAAATTTTTCCATCTCTCTATTTATCCACCCATCCATCATAAAGACACGCGCGCGCGCGCACACGCACACGCACACACACACCCACACACAAAAGATGCTGACATATGTCGCCCAATCCGAGGGGGAGGGTGACATTGTGACGCTAACCCTGAACAATCTGCTTTGTGATCAATTGGGTGCCCTTGTTTTCAGTTCAAAACATAGCTGCTGTCTGCACTGCCTCAATAAAACACATTTGTCGTTGAAACCAGGCAAGGGGTCAACCAAAGTGTAACGCTTGCATCCTGTGTGCGCGTGCACGCGTGGTATCTAGGTTATAATAGTTTTGGGATGTTCAATGGAGTTAGTTTTATTTCGCTTTGAGTATTATTTTTTTACAGTAATCCCTCGTTTATCGCGGTTAATGGGGACCAAAATCACCCGCGATAAACAAAAGTCCGCGAAGTAGCGACCAATTAACAAAAAATAAAAATAAATAAAAAAAAATATTTTTTTAAAGTCCGCAAACGGCCCGCGAGAAGCTGCGAAATTCAGCAAAACAACAGCGAGTCACATAGAGCAACATATACAGTACTGTACTCCATGTATATGAATTTATTTATTTTTTTTTTTTTTAATGAATATGTTTGAAAAAATCCACGATGCACTGAAGCCGCGATAAACGAACCGCGAAATAGCGAGGGATCACTGTACTAGTTATCAGACCGGTTTTGTTCAAAAGTGTGTAACAGCATTTATTTATTTTTACATTTCCTGTATTTCTTTAAAAAATGTGTGGCAAAAACTCAACAGGAATATTATTTTCAAAACATTTTACATTCATTCTTCCACAAATCAAATACAGGTCCTGTATGAACCGTCCACAGACTTTGAAGTACAGTAAGCGTAGTACATAATATTGCTTCTAAAGTTGAATGCATCACAACTCTAAGGTCTTAAATAGAGCAAGGATGGTTCCCACTTTCCATCATTGGTTTGTCAGGTTGCCAGCTTCGAATGCGCATTTGTGGCTTGAATTTCAGTTACGATGCTAACACTGCAAGCCATTCGCTTTTGTCTGTGAGCAACAGTCAAATCGGATGGATGATAGATCGATAAGCAGGGGAGCTATAAAAGACATGCAAGCTCATAACGTCATCTGGTGGCGTTTTTTTATTGCCTGACACTTGATAACATTGCTTCCCAGCAACACACCGTAAAAGGGACCACAACTCCCAGACTATTGTTAGACCTTCCTTATTTTCCTTATTTCATGCTAATACAGAAATAAATACATTTAAAATCAACCACAAATGATTAAATTCATCACCAAAGACGAAAATGGACGCTTTCGTTGTTTCGCTATAACCTGATAACGTGATAAGCTGTCCACTGTAGTAACCGCGGTCCCTGAAAGGGTTAAAAAAAAACAAAACATTACGTTTTCATTTTATTTTGTGAACAAATTTGTTTTTCTGTTTTATTTTTTCCCCCCACTAACTATGATAACTTTAGTGTGTTTACATGTTACTCAGAATTGTTCCACTGCTTTAATGACTTGACAGTGACTTTAGCAGTCGTGCTACATTACCTTTCTGTGCTTTAGCTGTTGTCTCAAAGTATTTTACAGTGAATTCCTGGATAATAAGCACGGCTTCTTGAGCTTTCCTCTGCCAATCCGAGTCCTCCTGCTGGAGGGCATAAATGCGCCTTGGGCCCAGGTAGTCATTCTCCATGGAGATCTAGTGAGAGAAAGTTAAGCTTGATACCTTATCCATTCCACATTTTCACAACCACATTTTCTTAGGTGAAAGCAGTAGTCCATTGCAGATAAATACATTCATTTCGGATTAACTGCATGGAATAAAAATCGTTAATACAGAAAGATGGTCTGACATCCCTTGCTGATCCTACTTATCTCAGCGCAACCTATTAGTGGACAGGGTAGGGTTGTTCGACCGGCCCAGAAATAGATAGGCCATTCGGCAACCCCCCCACAATTCCTGATGGCCACCACGCCCTTGTCGACAGTTTACCTTTGTCCCGTTGCTCGTGCTCAAGCTGACTGCAGTGAGTTGTGTTTACGATTCTAACACTTCTGGACACTCAAAGTACGTGAAAAAATTACAAACTTAGTACAAAGCAGTGTTTGTGCTTTTAGTTTTGCACATTTCTGAGTGGTTTGGTGATAGACATTAATAGTACAAAGTAACACATGCACGTGTGCGCCGGCTCGTGTTCCATTCCACAGTGACAAATACTGCAGAGCACGAAGCCTGAACAGATGGTTCCATGGTGTAATGGTTAGCACTCTGGACTCTGAATCCAGCGATCCGAGTTCAAATCTCGGTGGAACCTTGCTATTTTAATTTTGGTCGTTTTCAAGGTTTTTCAAACAGTGACTTTGTCAATGAAATGAAAGGAATGTGCAGGGTAATACTACAGCAGCAGACAAACCTTTATTTATGTGTCACTGAGGCGGGCGGCAGCTAATTGGAGAGCCAGTGATGGCACTCACGGCCAAATTCGACATTGAAGTACTCTTTAAAAAACATCATTAAGTACGTCTGCATGATATAATGACATCCAGGAGCTCAAGCAAAATGTTTCCTTTGATAAAACTAAATATGCTCAGTTGATTGACAAAGTCAGAGAGGTATTCATTTTAATAATTTTTGGGCTTTGAAAGTCGGTAGGGGCCTTTGAATCAATTCATTCATCGCGAAGACTTCCGCTGACATTGTGGGTGTATCAGTTGTTAATAATCATAATAAATGGCTTTTTCTTCGGGCGACACGTTGCTCGACTGGTTAGCACATCGGCCTCACAGTGCAATAGTCGTGGGTTCGATTCCGGCCAGGCCTTCCTGTGCTGAGTTTGCATGTTCTCCCCTCGTGAGGATAAGTAGCTCAGATAATGGATGGATGGCTTTTTTTTTTTTCTTTAAGCACTTGAATGAAAATTGAGTGGCACTACTGCAACCCGCACAAGCGTTGCTGGATTGGATGTGAAACACCTCTCGTTGGAAAGGCATTGATTAAGTAGAAACACTTGTCTGGCTCGGGTTGTTACCTTGATCTGTTGTCTCCGCAGCATGGCTAGCTCCCTCATGTCTCGGAATGGCTGCAGCAGGTACTGGTACAGTTGCGTGGAGGCCTCCAGCAAGCATCCATAGGCCTGGTCCTCCTCCTCATAAAGTTCCAACAAGTCAACCATGCTGTCCATGCTCCTATGTTTATCCAGAAGCTACACACACACACATACACACACGAAAGAAAATGTGTTAAAAAATGTGACAAAACATGAGAGCCGGTCTTCTTATTTCAGCTATATCAGATCATTTGGCACGATTTTATAGTGGGTCTTTTAAATCTGAAAGTCAGAGTCCATTCACAAGCTACCATAACATTAAAGCATACAAAAGCCATAGTGAAAAAGAATACTGTACTGTATTATTCGTCCATCAATAGAAACGCACGCTCCACTGGCTAAAAGAAGGATCCTTTGTGTAACTGTAAATACTGACAGCACAATAAAGAGCACTCACTGCTGAATGTGATCTACTGCTGGGAGTAAGATCAATAGCCACGCATTTTGTTGCCAGGCTGAACAGGCTAAATGAAGCCTTGAAATAAATCAACTCTCATCGAGGATCGATGGGACAGCGGGTGTGTGCGTGCATTGTATGACTTTTTGTGGCCTAATTACATTGCCGCATGTTTTACAGGAAGCAGATATTAACAATGTATGTTTGCACAAAAGGTGCAAACAATGTTTAATTGACGTGGTATGATGTGGCTGAAGTCGCATGGTGGCGTAGAGGTTAGCACATATGCTTCACAGTTCAAAAGTCTTGAGTTCATGTTCTGAAGCATCATGATCAATTGAATCAAGTGTGTTGGAATAGGGAGAGCTCTAAAACAGCAGGATATGGCTCTGGAGGAACCTGAACGTTTATCTTATTTCATCTGGTATAGGCTGAAACTCCCCAGTGACACTAATGAGGATAAGCAGTATAGAAAATGGATGGATGTGGGGAGTTAGACTGTGGGAAGATAGAAGCAAGCAAATCCCATTATGGAAGCAACTAGAGTGAGAACAGACCTCCGCAAAGGCCCACCAATCAATGTAGATCAGATACCCACTTCCTGCATATGCCAGAATTTTTAAATATGATTCATGTGTACATCACAATGAAAAAAAAACAAAAAGGCCATAAAATAGCCATCCATCCATGCATCTTGGGTTAGTTAAAGATTCAAAATTGAATTTAAAAGTGAATGGTTGCTTTTCTACTCATGGCCTGCAAATGACTGGTGACCAATTCAGGGACTTGAACCATGATTGTCGGGTTAAAAAATCCTTAGATACAGTAAGCTAATGCTTCTTTAGGAATAACAGATCTAAAAATTAAGTGCCATTTTTAAAGATCATGAAAGGATGGACCGTGATGTGATGGCCTCATATTGTGAAACTATATTTTTGCATAATAAAGTCGATGATTGCAATGTCAACAACACCTGTCTTCCAAACTTGGTTGCAGCTCCCACATAATTTCAGAATTATTTCACCTTTTCCCCCAATAGAAATAAAAATGGATTCTGCATTGCACTGGTCAACAGCAAACTTTAATCAGAGATAGCTTTATTTGTCCCTAAATATTCATCCATCCATCAATTTTCTGATCCACTTCTCCTCACAAGCGTCGCGGGGTGTGCTTGGAGTTTATCCCAGCTGTCTTCGGGCAGTAGGCGGGGGACACCCTGAACTGCTTGCCAGCCAATTGTAGGGCACACAGTGATGAACAACCGTCCGCGCTCACACTCACACCTAGGGACAATTTAGAGTGTTCCATTAACCTGGCATGCATGTTTTTGGAATGTGGGAGGAAACCGGAGTCTTCTTCTACTTCTTCTCCTTTCGGCACGTCCCTAGTCAGGGGTCGCCACAGCGAGTCAGTAATTTCCATCCGCCCCTGTAAACCGTCCTACCAACTCGCATGGTCGTCTTGGCAAAAGTTTTACGCCGGATGCCATTCCTGACGCAACCCTCCCCATTTCTCCGGGCTTGGGACCGGCACTGGGGAACAGTGCACCCCCAGGGGAGGGCACTGCTCCCCAGCGGCTGGGTTGGGAGGAAACCGGAGTACCCGGAGAAAACCCACGCAGGCCCAGGGAGAACATGCAAACTCCACACAGGGAGGCCGGAGCCGGAATTGAACCTGGTAACTCTGCACTGTGAGGTCGACGCGCTAACCATTTAATCACCGGGCCGGCATCCTTAAACATATTGATGGGTATTATGAAAAATGTCTGTATTTTTTTAAGCATCTTTTTAAGATATTTTCATTTTTTATTTTTAAGTTTGACCTGTAAGAGTTTGCGCAATACCGATTTTAACATACGGTTGTAATTTACATCTTTGAAGTGAAAAAAAAAAATTCCAACTGTTGCTGAGCCCAACGCTTAATTCATAAAAATAACTCCATATCTTGCTGCTGTAGACTGCATATTTCCCCAGTGTGGAACGAATAAAGGTTATCTTATCTTATTTCAGTTCAATTTCCTTCACACTGATATGACAGCACACAATAATAATAATTCTTGGTTGGCCTGGCTGTCAAAGTCGTCCAGATGTGCACCTATGGAAACATGAGAAAGAGTGAAAAGAAGCTCACTCTCACCTCTTGCAGGTGTTTACTTTCACGGAGAAGCGCCTCTTCGTATCCACACTGCCTCAGCTCGCTCAGGCTCTCGTAGTACTCATCTGGGTCATCATTTTCCGTGAAGAGAACCTGAGAGAGGATCTTCCAGCCACATATATCAAGCGCATGGCCAAGGTAGAGCTGCAACTTAGAACACAGCTCATCCATCTCAGTCTCAGAGACCTCAGCCGGTCCAAACAGCACGGTCCACATCCCGCTTGGCTCTTCTGGGAAGACGGGGAGGCAGGGCTCCAATGCGGAGTTTACCGAGCACAGCTGCTGATGGATCGCCCGTAGGTCTTGGAAGGAAAAGAGGCCTGCCCAGCTGCAGTCCTCTCTGCTTAAAGCATCCTCCAGGTCCAGTGTGTCCACGGGGGGCAATTGCTCCTCTCGCTGTGACTCTGCATCACACTTGACGTGAGATGACACATAGTTGACCACCGTTTTAATTTTAACAGGACTTAGTTTGGAACCTGGGAGCTTGCTTTTAAGGCTTTTTACTGCAGCATCCCTGGCTATTGAGCTGGGGCTCCTGGACACTTTGTACCCGGCGGGACTTCCGGGCCATTTTGTTTTGTCTCCATCCTCCGACGGAGGGTCTCTGCTGCTGGCGCCGAAGCTTTTCCTTTGCACCGTCCTGTTGTGACATGTTATGGCAAATTTGCCTTCCACTTCGTTCCAGGCTACGATGAAGACAAATTTATGCTTCTCCTTCTCCTCGAAGGCATTTGGGCGAACGGCAACCCAGCCCGACTCAAAATTATCCTCCATTGTGAATGACATCTCTGCAAAGTGATGAAACTACACCGCTATGCGTATGAAGGCATCACCGCGGCTCTGGCGGAGTCATTACCATTTACCAACAATTGAATGGGTCGTCCGACTATCTGTCGCTTTGGCGATTGTTTTGGGAATAGTACGGTGTCATTTCCATCCACTTGGATGTCAGGCAGTCGGTGTCCGTTAGCTTCATCATTAGCATAGCAGGGAAGCATCTCACGCAAGTGCGCACTGTTTAATCACCGCGGACCGCATTAAAGGCAGTGTTCTTGAGCCACCGTAAATTGATGCAAAAGTGCTCACCATACATCCTAAAAAAGCAAAGGAATGACGCCGGTAAAAAAAAAAAGAAAAAAAGTATCTCTCGTCCCGTAGTCGTCTGTGCGGTTATCGTTGTCTTCGAGCCAATAACGTTGACATGTTTACCTATACAGTACAGTACGCATCAGCTGACCACCAAACCACAGACCTGAAATGATGATGCCTTCAAGGACGGTAGGAAACGTGGGAAATGGGGTCAGTCGAACGAACGTGCGTCAAGATAATCAAGAAATGTTCACACAGTGGAGGGGTTGTCGTTATCAATATAGAAGAACTGTATTGGCAATTGTTTTTGGACGCATTCTAAAAAAAATAATTTGGCCAACACTGTCCACCGTGTTAATTATGTTTTTATCATGTGCATTTGTTTGGATTGAAATTGACTCAGTGTTTTTAATTGTTTCATACGACTGTAAGAAATTGCTCGTGTCCACCGTGCTAATTATGTTTTTATCATGTGCATTTGTTAGGATTGAAATTGACTCAATGTTTTTAATTGTTTCATACGACTGTAAGAAATTGCAAAATGAACAAACTGCATTTTATTCGCATATTTTAAACGAAACTAAATCAGTTCTTCTCAGATAGTGAGGAGCTGGGGGTCTGGACGTTGCAATGCAACACAGTACCCAGTAACCATACTGGGAAGCTTATTTTAAACGAAACTAAATCAATCCTTCTCAGTGAGGGGCTGGGGGTCTGGACGGTGCAATGCAACACAGTACCCAGTAACCATACTGGGATAGGCTCAAGCACACCCGCCACCAAAATGAGGATAAAAGCAGTTCGGTTAATTGATGGTTGGAGGGATAGTTGGATGGATGCTATAAAATGTCATTGCACATCCTCTATAGTAGGGGGCAGTGGTGCATCGGGAGCATTAGCTCTAAAGTGTATTGTTGTTGTGTATTGTTACAGCATAAAACAAGCGATATGAGTGAACCCGGAGGAAACACTATGGAAAAATATTTTACACGAATGAAAAGAAAAGCGGGGAGACTAAAATAACATCACGAATAGTTATTCTTTGTTGTAAGTCGATTGATAGTTATTTCTTTTTTGTTTTCTTTTTCATTAAGAAGAAAATATTGTTTATAGACACATCAAATTGATGGCGGTGCAGGTACCAGCAGTGGCTCCTCTCTCTCCTGTGGTTGAGAGGAAAGAAATTTCATCTGTGCTGTATGTTGCACATAGAGCACATTTGACAACAAAGTTGACTTGACTTGAAATCATACTATTTCTAATCTCTAATCATGTGGGAGAGTTGGGAAATGCACATAGAGCACATTTGACAACAAAGTTGACTTGACTTGAAATCATACTATTTCTAATCTCTAATCATGTGGGAGAGTTGGGAAATGTCTGTTTCCTAATGGGGCGTAACAGAAAATAATTGAGAAGCAAGTTGAGACCATCCGTGTTGATTTTTTTAAAAGACGCTAGGTGGCAGCAACTCCCCTTTACGTCTGCAACGTGTCTTCGTTTGGTGGAAATGACGATTGCAAGCGTCACTTCCGGGCGGTTCAATTCGATCGAACTACCCTATGCGGATGTTTACAGTTGTAAAATGGAGTTCAACTGTGTCGTGATTGAAAATAGACCGTAGCACAAAACGTGCAATTAATTGTTTACGCGGGTTGTTGCATCAGTAACACTTGACAGTAAGGTTTTTCAAGATTTGGTTGGACTCCACATACCAAAGGTAACTTTGATTCTATCTTCTTGATTCAACGATACACTTTGAGTATTCGTTTACAGCCTAAATGTTTTTATTTGCTGAAGCAGTGCAGTGCTTCTCAACTGCCGTCACGGAGTCGCATCTTACTTACATCTAACAGCACAAAAATTTGAAAAGATATAATATGATAAAGCATGCACGAGTATAATGTATGATTACAGAAAGTACAGTATTGCTTTGAAAAAACTTTCAGGCCATAAATCTAAAACTAATCATTGAAAACAGTGCACACATTGGTAAACTCTTTTGCTGCATGACGACGTATTCTTTGCGCCAGTCGTAACCTCAAAATGGCAGGTGTCGTTGTGACGTAAATCGAGGATTTCTTGTCAATTGTTCACCTTCTGTCCGTGACCCACTTTTGGGCATCCACCAGTTGAAAATCCCTGTGTCGCTCAAGGTTACTCAAAGAAAGGGAATTTTCTAACTTGGGTTAAAATTGAGTTATGGATGGAAATAAAGTTATTTGTATTTGTTTCTGCCAAGCTGTGGCATAATGGAGCCATCTGACGATATGGGAAATCAAGAGGAGGACGTGCCCCGAAACAATGGATCCAACGGCCAATCAGACACCTTACCAGACATACTGAAGTATGCTTCTGTCAAGATCGTAACAAGTATCCTACCTCATATTTTTTATTGTTGTTATTTACTGGAGTGTCTTTCAGAATAAAAGAGCAGCTGTATAACCAGTGCTTTGAGATGGAAGTGCAACTTAGTCGAGGTACAGGTGTAATTTTCAGCCTTTTTTTGACAAATTCTGTTCTAAGGAAAAAAATGTGAATATCATCTCTTCTCTTGCAGACAAGAACCAGAGATCGTGCTCTACGGCTGAAGCAGACGCACGCTTGTGAGTACTTGATTTAAGATCCCGTCGTCCGGTTGTCAAATCACACATGCATTTTAAGATGTTTGTCTTTACAGGGAGGGCAATGTCAGCGAGCTGGAAAGAATCAAGTCACGTCATTTTAACAGCACACTGGCATTGCACAGGTAAACCACTAGTTAATATTGAACTGTCAAAGTGATGTTTGTCTTGTAAACGGCTGAAGAAATCACTGACCTGTTCTGTGTTTTAGAATGCAGATGTGGCATGCTATTGGAGAAAAGATGAAAGAAAATAATTCAGAGACTGAGTAAGTTAACACAAACAATTAAAGTTGAATTATTTAATGAGAAAAAAAATTATTGTTCTGTCAGCTTGATACACTGTTGTGTCGTTTTCAGTGCGCTGAAAGCCATCAGTGATCGCTGCATGACGCTTTGCTCGCACATTAAAACAGTTCAGCAGGTAACAAGCTTTCAGCGTTTAAGTAGAATAAGGTGCTGTATGAACAGGAATAATAATAAGATAATATATGTTTTCTTATTCTTAAAGGAATCAAGGGCTCTTCAAGATGAAATCACAGAACTCCAGAAAAACAGGCTTGGTTAGTAAATATGGTTTACAACACACATTTTATTCACAAAACATGTTTGAGAAAACGATTGTATTGTGTTTAGAGCTGAAGCGTCTCACGCATGAGAAAATGAGAGAAATTGAAGACTTGAAGGTGAAAAAAGTGCACCCGAATGCAGAAAAGTACAAAGCTGTCTTGGAGAAGGGCCTCACAAACCTGGAAGAATTAAAAAAGATGGTCATCATGGGACAGAATGTATTGAGGGTAAAAAAAAAAAAAAAAATCACTGCAGTGCTGATTTTCAGGGAACTTATTTAAAGTTCCCTAAAGTAAGTGCCGATAGTGAAATATGCAATTTTTTTTGTCATGTGCAGGGACTTCTTTTAGCATATAAAATAAACTGGATGGCGGATCCACATCTGCGAGACATAGCCCTGACTCTGGAGGAATTTCCCATCGCCGACTAGACTAAAGGAACCCACTTGTTTCCTGCCTATACGTGTCTGTTTTATGTTTTGACGATTGAATAAACCAAAATGAATCTACAAGGACTGCTCAGTTGTTGTGGTTGTCATAACGAGTATGGCCACCAGGGGCCGACTCATTTCCTCAAAGAATCTGAACAGACGCCAGCGAAGAAGGGCATGCGCTAGTCACACGTGTTTACCATATCACTTGTGAATATTTACCACATTTTTGCGTTTCTGCAGCATTTATAACTACAAACGCAGAAAAAATGCCGAAAGTTAAAGCGGAAAAGAAAAGCAGGCAGCATCAAGAAGTTAAAAACCAAGGTACGCTTCCTGATGTGTAAAGTTAGCGTTAGCATGTTTCATAACGCCAGAGATCATGCTAAAAGGACGATCGTGGACTTCCAAATTGTTTAACATAACTGAGTATTATCCAGCATTAATCGCAGGCTTTATCCGAGTGATAAAGTACACCATTTCCTGAAACTGTCATGTTGGAAAGATTCTCGTGTTGACATTAACGTTGATTATGTATCTATGGTATTTAAGTGCATTTTCGTTTATTTTCCTACCTCGACAGGAGATTTGTCTTCCCCTTCAAAACCTTCCAAAGACAGTGATTCTCAACTGTTATCACCCTTTATTAAAAAATATTAATAACGATGCTACGTACTTTCAAGACGTGGAGCCTTCATTATCATTGTAATGATAAAGCTTTCCGAGCACCTTTAGAGGATGAACATGACAACTGAATGTATAAAAATAAATATAGTTAAACAAAATGTCTCTGAAGCACAAAACACAATGCGGCCACAACATTTCACTGATCACGACACTGATCTCTTCTTATTAGGAAAGTGTACCATTAATAGTCATTTTAGGTCATGAACAAAGCAGATGACAAATGCAACTGTAATAGTTTAAACAGTCTAAAGTATACTACAGTATAAAACCACTAGTGACATTTGCTGTGTGTGATGCTGTTTGAATGTCATTTAAAGTTTGCACGTCACTGTTGTTTAATTTTTTTTTTTATATGTAATTACATTTGTAGCACCTAAAGTGTACTGTATAACTAGCCAGAGGCTGAGCTGCACTATGTTTGTCTCACCAAATTAATCAACTATTTTACATATTAAGTAATCGTTTAGAAACAGTATATAACTTAAAATTGTTCAGATCCTCTGATTTCAGCCTCTCAACAGTAATTATAATCCACTTTCTATTGTCCTTCATGAAAGCGGACTGATTATGGTATCTTTTGTTTAATCAAAATCACACAATCGCTAACATCAGCTTTTACTTTAGGTTATTGTGTGCCACTGGTAACCTGAAAATGTCGTATGTGGGCACCTTCTTAAAACGAGGTCCTTACCTCTCTGCGACCCACCGGCAGAGAATCACTATTGTAAAACAGAATTATGGCTCACGGCTAACCTCTGTGTTGCAGGTATTATGTTCAATACAGGAATCGGTCAGCACATCTTGAAGAATCCTCTGGTGGTCAACAGCATTATTGAGAAGGTTAGCCTGACCACATTCGGAAATGTGATAAGTTTGTTTGATTGCAATGCGTTGCGTCATTTTCAGGCTGCACTCAGGCCAACAGATGTTGTTTTGGAGGTGGGACCTGGAACTGGTAACATGACCGTTAAACTACTAGAAAAAGCTAAGAAGGTAAGGAAGATTGATTTTACATCTTCGCAATGTCATTCACTCCTGTAATTACATTTGGAAAACAACACGCAGTGCAAACAAAGACGACGCTGACCTTTGTGTGTTGCAGGTGGTGGCGTGTGAGTTGGACAGCAGATTGGTGGCTGAACTGCAGAAACGAGTACAATGCACGTGAGTGACTGATTTGCTCGAAACCCTTAAAAAGTGACCGTGTGGTTTAGTAAGCATGTCGTGGCCTCCAACAGACCCATGCAGACCAAACTTCAGATCTTAGTTGGGGATGTTTTAAAAACAGACCTGCCCTTCTTTGACGTGTGTGTCGCCAATTTACCATACCAGGTAAACACTTGTCTTTTGCATTGAGCCCACTTTTAAGTGCTCCTACCTCTGAAAGTTGATATATTAAAAAGTGTCACTTTTTAATTGCAAAGATATCATCGCCGTTTGTCTTCAAGCTGTTGCTTCACCGACCATTCTTCAGGTACAAAACCTCACTTTCTCATATTGTCAAGTCACGTTCGGTAGTAGTCTGCAGCTCGTGTGTGTGCTTGTTTATTTCAGGTGTGCCGTTTTAATGTTCCAAAGAGAGTTTGCCATGCGTCTGGTGGCTCCACCTGGAGACAAACTCTACTGCAGGCTGTCCATCAACACTCAGCTTTTGGCTCGTGTGGACCATCTTATGAAAGTATAATGCGCACATTGGTAATTTGACGTCTTACCGAGAAGAAACTCTTACAATGTTGATTTTTTTTTTTCCCCTTTTTTTGTCAGGTAGGTAAGAATAATTTCCGTCCTCCTCCAAAAGTTGAGTCCAGTGTTGTGAGGATAGAGCCCAAAAATCCTCCTCCCCCAGTTAACTTCCAGGTTAAGAGTTTTCTTTGTTGTATTTGGAACGCTCAAAAGATAAAGTGGACATTTTAACATTAGATCTGTTGTGTTCAGGAATGGGATGGCCTGGTCAGAATCGCCTTCGTAAGAAAGAATAAAACTCTGAATGCTGCATTTAAGTGAGTATGGTTGGCAAATGTTTCCAGTTAAGTGAGTGTTCAATTTGGTACGCAGTTCAGCAGGAAAATCCACCCGGTTTTGGCCATCTCAGGCGGCCATTTTGCCCCTTGCTGTCAACTGAAAATGACATCACAGTTGCTCAGCGCTCAGGTAAAAACCAACGATGGCTCAGCTTCAGAAAACAAGTGAGCCGTGATTGGTTGTTCAGCCACTGTGGTGTCATTTTGAGTTGGCAGGAAGTGGTAAAATGGCCAATAGCTAAAAACAGGTGGACTTTGCTGCTGAATTCATATTCAACAAACACAATATTAATCAGAATACTGTGTTTAGACTAGTGGAATCACATATCAGTGTAAATCCAAAGCATTCTGTACAATGGCGAACTGTGAAGTGGCTCAAGAGTCACACTGGATTCTCGGATGTCCAGGTCGACCGCGGTGGAGCAGCTCCTGGAGAAGAACTACAGAATCCACTGCTCTGTGCACAATGTGGTGAGTGCACGGTGAAAATTGTCCCTTTGCAATGGCGCTGGCTGCAATGATAACACAGCTCATGCTTCACATCCTGACAGGAAGTGCCCGTCGACTTCAGTATCACCAAGAAAATAGAAAGCATCTTACAAGAGGCAAACTTCAGTGAAAAGAGGGCTAGGTCTATGGACATTGACGACTTCATGGTGTAAGTTGGATATTCCCCATTTAACTCCTTTCGGTAATCTGCTAAATGACATTCCTGCAAACCTGGGCGACTGTCTTCATATTATTGTCAAAATGACATGGCTTAGAAAATAAGTGCTCCCTCCGATTGTAGTTCATTCCAATGGCTGAAATAGTACGTAAAAAAAAAAAACCCTAATTTTATTGGGAATTTGTGTTCATGTCATGTTTCTCATTCATTGCTCACATTTCTATTCCTCAGATTGCTTCATGCGTTCAATTCAGCTGGGATCCACTTTTCTTAAAGGCATACACACCACAGGACTGCAGAATTTCTTCTGGAGCCCTACAAGATTTTTTTTTTTATCATATCGGAGGGGAAAAAAACAGGATCAAGAACTCATATTGAGATTCTAATGTATCACTGACTCAACATACAATATTAATTTATCTTGAGATTGCATCCATTGTATGAATAAATATCAGTACTCCTTAACAATGTTTAAAAATTGTATTCGTTTGTTTAATCCCGCCAAATATGAATGCACACTTGATATGCTGTATCTCCTATCCAGAGTTGAATATAGTAAAAATTAAAGTACAAGCAAGCCCATTTGTCACCCAATGAGAATCTGCAAGGGAACCAAGTAAGGAATTTGATTGACAAGCAGTATTGATAATGGAGTAAGAATCACTCCAGAAGGGTATTTTTCGGGACACCCTTTGCTCCTTGCCACAACACATGACAACTTTAATGGTGTTCGTGTTCTTCACTATACATTTATTGTCGTTTTTCCATTTCCAGTTGTTTTTATAACAAATTGTAACAGGGGTGCAAAATGTTGGGACGTTTTGAGTTTAGAAACTATTGTCACGTAGCACGAAATGGCACAAGATGTAAGTGAATCCTGTAAAAATGTTTTTCGGGGCCTACAAGAGGAAGAAACATTTTGCTCTCCTGCTTGTTCCTCACATGTAAAAAGTGGGAGGGGGGACAGACTGCATATCAGACATGACTATATAGTGACAAAAACCATGACGCCATAACATCAGTGCACATGCAGACTGTACATAGTAGCCAAGCCAACCGTAAATCGTACGTCAGTTTTGTGTGGCAAAAGTGGAAACCATGTCCAAAAAAAATATGTTCAAAAGTACAAAGAAAATAATTTAAGGGGAATGGTTAGACGACTCCTAAACATCCTCCATGAGAAAAACCAAAAATGAAACTATTTCCTTTCCCAAAGTGTTCTTCCTAAATTTCCTAACAAGACTGTAGCGACAAGTCAGTTTTATGAGGAGTCTTAACAGTTGTAATTGTTTGAGCCTGTAGGGAAGAGCCAGTCCTTGAATTTGTGCTTCGACAGGCAAGTCGGTCTTAGTGGTTCTCTTTCCACCTCCTCGGTGGCTCACTAAAGAGCACGTGGCCTCTTGGGGTTGATCTGCTTGCTGGCCTTCTCCTCCTCTTGGAGAGCACAGCGGAACGATTTCACTTTATCTGTACAAAACCAAGCAGGATAAGAGATCAGTGATGAGCGATTTGATGGAACCGCCTTGGTGCGGTTTGTACTGGTTCGATGAGCGGCTGCTTCGGTCAAACCTCGGAGCTCGGTGAGGATGTCTATCTTTTGGTCCAGGATCTTCTCCAGCTGAGTGGCGTAAGATTCCACATCGTAGTCCACCTCCTCTTCTGTCATCTTCAGGAGCTCCTTCTCATCCTCCAGCCACCGGATGGACTCCTGGAAAAAGGAACAAAAGTGTTACTACTCGTGGAAGACATCTTTTTTTCAGTCATGAAATTAATTGCATTTGGAACTCTTTGACTTTCTTGGATGGTCTGACCTGGAAAACAGCCCGGTGGTCCTCTAGGACCTGCTCCTCCATTTCCACCAACTGAGAAACAGCCTCGTGGAAGGAGAAGAGCTGAGGAGACACTTCCTCCTCCTGGGAGACATGGCAAAAAACATACCCAGACTGAGGAGCTTCACACAAACTAAAACAAAGATATGAAATGTTGCAAAAGTTCAAGGGGGCCGAATACTGTCGCTAGACCCTGTACATGTGCTTCTTCCTCGGTTGTGACATTTTTTGGCTTTGGCAGAGTTCTGCCCTTCACTGTTGCTTTTGTTAAGGCAGCTTTTTAAATACGGTCTAATGTGGTAAGTTTTAAAACCCATAGTGTGCTTTGATGATTGAGTTACGTTGTAAGTTTTTGTTAAACTCTCATATTGCCTTGGTTGGGAAGCGCAAGCAAACTACTTACATTCTGCTCACAGAGCAGCTTGAGGTCGTCTCTTTGTGGCGAACTGTTCTGCCAGTCCTCATCTAGAAAGTCCAGCTGGTTGACGGCATGGATGTTGGCACGACCTCCTTCCATCACCTGGTTGTGGTCCACAGTAAGTTCCTTCACCCTGAACACCAAAGGAACATTGATCTCATCAGGAGTGATCATATTTGCTGAGCGGACCCGCTTAAAGAAGCTGGTGGCTGTTAGATGGGCGGGGGAGGGGGGGGGCACGTTTTGGCCACATCACGGGAGCAGTGACACCATGCATGGAAAGGAACGGTTTGTGCGAATGTCAATGATCTTGCTGAGCGTTGCTCTCTCCTTAGAGGAAGTTCATCCATGCATTTTCATTGAGGTGCACCCCATTTATTCGTGACAGCAACAAGGTCCCCAACTTCCAGTTCCACTATCATGTCATGTGCGGCCACCGATGGTGATGTATGGACGGTAATTAAAGGAAAAGGATAAGGAAAAAGGTGTCGCCATCGTAGGCAGAAAAAAAAAAAATAAAGCGGTGAATCACAGTTGGTGAATACAATTGCGAATCACATGCAGATGAAAGGAAGAAAAGCGGAAAGATGATGGATGTGTTCAACAGAAAAGGTTGGCTGCTAAAATTAACTCTATATTTGATCTCACGATGCCAGTGTAACATGTGTGTCTACCTGATTAAAAAGCACATGCGTTTGTGTTTGTGTAGTGCAGTGCAAGCGCTTGACCTGCCGGGGGGAGTAGCAGCAAAGTCATCGTACTCAAAGGTATTGGTCGGAGAGTGCTCAGGGCGACTCCCCTGACCACCCTGAGAGAAGGGGATGTCGGATGGACTAATCCCAAACTCCTTCACTCTACGCCAGGGCATAGAGGGGCAGCATGGGAGATGTGGGAAAGGGAGAGGCGAGAAGATTAAAAGGGAGCAAGAGTCAAAGAGTCAGAAAAAAAAAAACAAAAAAAAAAAAACGACCAAGAACAGGAAGCAATTTAACCTTCATGATGAGCAAAGCTCAGTCAGCTACTATCAATCTATGTAAGTAAAGGCAAGTAAGGGATATGATCCCGCCTCTCCATGACAATACACTGTAGAACAGGGGTGTCAAACTCATTTTTGTCGCGGGCCTCAATGCCGTTACGGTTTCCCTTGGAGTGCCATTATGAATTTTGTGAAATCATATAAATGTTTAACCGCCTCCACATATTACATACACAGCGAACAACAAATTGATGGATAACTCGTTTTTGAAATCAGAAGTCAAGAATGGCTTTGTTCAAACATTGTCATTATGGATTACATATAACAATTTAAAATTTGAGTTCAGACTTCAGCACGCATTCTGGAAGTTGACATGCTTGCTTTGCTTTTGCGGCCCACATAAAATGATGTGGCGGGTCAGATCTGGCCCCCGGGCCTTGACTTTGACACCTGTGCTGTAGAAGGTGGACATGAGCACCTGTTGGCGTAACGGAGCGTGTTGAGGGTGTTCTCGCAGGATGTCATACCAGGGGAGATTGTTGCAATCTGCCCATACAAAGGGAAAAAAAAAAAAATCATTCCGATGACGACTGTGTGAAGATACAGGAAGCCATCACTATACGGAGGTAATGCACTCACCATGCACGTACGGGAATTTTCACCAATGAATGAGTCTCGCAGGACCTGGGTGAGTTTACTGGCTCGGAACGGAGTGTGTGGCTTGTTGCGGCCGAGAGCCCTGATGCACTCCTGTAATAAGAGGAGGGAACACATACATTTTCATGTTGTAACATACCGGTCATAAAAAAAAGACAGACTGCAAATTGAAGCGCATTTGAAACAACCACATCCTATGGAAATCCCCAGACACTATTCAAATATGGCCACGGAAGCAAGCAGTGTGCCAACCGGTGTCCAATGAAACGGATGAATCTGTAATTCTTTTGAAAATTCATCCATTGAGACCGTTCAAGTATCCGGTCACAACACTTAAAATGGAACGACTGCCATTTGACTCGCCAAACCTTGAGCGCCAGCAGGCTTTTGTTGATCTCCGCACCCTCCAGGCGAGTCTGGCGGTCAGCACTTGAAGTATCGGCGCCTCTCTCGTTCCCGGCCAGGTCGATGAGGGAGAACTTGCCGTGCAGTTTGCCCTTCCTCCGAAGAATAATTTGGAAGACGGCGTGGCTGCGAGACGAGTGGGCGTTGGCCGACGTCTGCCCTGATGTCCTACAGAAAACAAAACACGGGATTGTTATGATGAACAAAGTAATCATCAGTAATTTGATAACCACCACCACAAACGGTTTCAACTTGTGCACCTGCAGCTGTTGCCCACTTCGATGAGTTTCAGGACATCTTCTGTGCACTTGACCTCCTTCTCCTGAAGCCCCACAACCTGCACTTGCTGTTTTCGGTCCTCCAGCACCCTCAGTTTAGTTTTGCGATTCAGCAGGTCAAACACCTGACACAATGTACACGGTGGAATGGAGTGTGATTAGCTTGAAATAAATAAAAGCAAAAATACTATAAAAACATCTCCAATTTGTTTCTTTCTCACCTTTCCACTGTAGATTTCAAAAAAGGTCGCATACACTTGTAGCTCTAACTTCTTGTAATTGGGTTTCTTCAACATGAGAAATACATCCCGAGCTGGATCCAAAGAAAGACGTTGAAAGCCAAAGTAGATGTCTTTGAAACATTGAACCACAAACATTGTGCATATACGACCTGTGACTTACCAGCCAATGCATAAATTCCTTTTGAGCAGTCTTGGTTCTTCCCAGAAAAATCTCCGCCCATTGTCTAAAACACACAAAGCTCTTTGAGAAATTGAAAAATGACTCTGATTTCAAGATGTAGTCGACATTAAACGCTACTCACATGAGTTTTGCCACTTCCTGTTTGCCCATAGGCAAAGCAAGTGGCCATGCCCCTCTCAAATATGGTCTCCACTAATGGCCTGGCAGTGAACCTTCAGAGAACATCATACGGACAACTTCATTAGGCGCAGCCACCTTTTTCATAAAATCAGTTTATTGGTATAGATCGTGAAAGGAAATGCAGGAGCGGGACAAGCAACAGGGGACTAAACCCAACCTGTAAACCATCTCATTGGTGGTGGCTTCGTCAAAGGCGTAGTCGAAGCGGAAGGTTTGGTTCTCCAGGAAGCGAGTCAGGTCCACCTTCTGTTTCGGTTCGTGTACCATCACCACATCCTTGCTGGGGATCGTGATCACATCCAAATCCTTCATGGTGAGTTCTGAAACAAAAGCCCAGGGAAAAATGACCGGTCCGGTCAAGACGGCGTACACGCATGTGATATGAGACGGCGTTACCTTTTCTATTTAGCGGACGTTTCCTCACACATACGCATATTCTATGTTCTTCGATCTGAGTGGCGCAACATGAAACGTTACATTATTGAAGGGGGTGTCATTGTACCGTACATCCTTAAATCAAGAAACAACGCTTTCTTCTCACCAAATCTGCTGTGGTCAGAGGTCGGTAATCAAGACTTGCCCGGAAATCTCGAATCATGCACATGATCTCATAATTAGGAATGGTTGTGTCCACCTCCTGCAAGAAGATTTGGAGAGACAAGATGAGATCACACCTTACACCGCCAACTGCTAGAAAAAAACGGCAAGTTTGTCTGCATCGATTTACCTGAGCCCTCTTTTCTCTTAGCTCCTGCTGCTGAAGCCGACGCTTCTCCCTTTTCTCCTGCAGCTTCTCGACCTCCTTCACACAGTTTGACTTCCTCCTAGCTGCCACAAGAGCAACAAAAACATTTCCATTTCCCGTGACGATGCTATAGTATTGGTCAAGCACTGCGTTCTACAAGAACCATCTCAGTCCAAGTTTTTCACTTCAAGTATTTCTCATTGCTAGTAGTTTTTTTTCCCCCTCTCTCTCTCAAGGCCATCCTTAAAAAAACTCTCTGGAAGCAATGAATACGTTAGGGATCACAATGCATCCGTCAAAATAGCAGCTTTTTGGTTTTTTGATTTCCCCCACTCTGAGGTCACCAGATCTCGGTCCATACCCGTAGCAAAGCATTTTTAAAATCAATACTGTATAGATATGTTCCAAAAGGTTTGTCTCCATAGATGAAAAATGTTCACAGGTGTATTCTTGTAAATGTTTGTACGGACATGGCTTGAGATTGCAAAAAAAACGACCAGTTTGGTTTTTTTTTTGCATTTAACCCATCGATGCAAATCTGGATGATGCATATACGGTCAGTCACAATCTAGTGTTGCATCTTACAATTTCTGTTTCCAACTTTCAACGGTTTGTTCCTGTATGAGAGTCTAAAGCAAGGTCCACACCCTTATTTAACCTTGAGATGAACAAGAACAACTTCTTTCAGCCATTACGACTATTTTACTCTATGACTTTGGGTTCTGTTTTTGCAATATTAAAACAACCATCTGTCACAGACCACCACTTCACGTTTCTTTTCTGGTCTGACTATGGGTTGGGAAAAGATACTCAAATTCATTTTGCAAGTGCTTATCAACACCTGAATAACCCCTCCGAACATCATGACAAGAGGCCACCATCTTTGTGGACCTAAAAATTCGAGCATGAGCACTTCAATTGCCTCTTAAATTCATTTAGGGAAAAAAAAAACCCAACTGCTTACTACGACCTACTGTGTTTGCATGCATCATTTGGACAGATGTCATTATTTGGTACTACCGCACTCATGGTATCCTTACGGTGCTTCACGACTCTGTATTTATGACGTCCTAATTGTTCTGTTTGAATGACTTGCTTGTTGCTGTAATACGACTGTGTCTCAAACTACTGGAGACAAATTCCTTGTGTGTTCATACTTGGCCAATAAAATAGATTTTACTGCCTACAGTGCTCATTTTCACTTCGTTTGTGTGTGATTAAAGTTACTAAACAATAGATGAGTAATTTAAACGCGTTAGTAAAAGGGTGATTCAACAGCCCGGCCTGAGAACTTGAAGAGGTGAAATTAAAGCAATGGCCCTGGTTTACTGCAAAGCGTCACACTCCCGCTCCAAAGAAAGCACTGTAAAACAGGCTTGGCCTCCTGCTAGCTCCACTTCCCAAGAACAGCAGACTATCAGAGCAGAGGGATGAATAATCTCCACTAATCTAGGAGGAATTAATGAGCTGGGTCAGCACCAAGACAAAGAAGTACAACGGGGAAGCAGCACCATCCCTTGTGTACTAATAAGAGGCTGTCGGTGAAGCAGCACGTGGCTAAAGGTCAACGCCAAAATAAATAGAGCAGTTGTTTATTTATTTTTTGCTGTATATGCCTGGAAGAGTAACATTCTGTGCCAGAGGCTTTTCCTCATGTGCTTAGAGAGCCAAAAAAAAACGCTCAGTGAACCAGCACAACACATTCAAGTGTTTGACTGACACCCACAAATCCTCTCTGCAGGGTATGGTTTGTATCTGGGCTACATCACCAACACACCAATGACATCACAGCTCTGAATAGTACCTGGCAGACATTTTGGGTGTGTGTACCCAATGTACTTTAAAGGCAAGAGGACTGTCAGATTCTATTGGGAACTATGATATAACAACAACCAAAAAAAAAAAAATCACTGAGGGCAATAAATGGGTGATACATACAAAGTTGTCCAATTTCCTTTCTGGTTAGCAGCTGATGGAAAGACTCTGTAATAAATGTGGTCAACAAATAGAACTTCTTCAAATTGAAAGAAATGTGGTCAACAAATGTAACATATTCAAACTGTATCAAGTGCACACTTTTCTACATCAAAAACAGCGATCAGAGTAAAACCATTCGTGAAGTCTTACAATTTGAGTTAGTCGACTCAAACTAACACCTGCAGACCGTGCAAGGGAGCTGTAAGGTGAGAACTTCCACATTACCATTCTGCAGCTGCTGCTGTGTGGGAGCCTGTGGGGGCTGAGGCTGCTGTGATGGAGGGGGCAGGACTGATTCAGCATGTTGAGACTGATGGGGTCGGGCCTGATTCGGAATGACTGCAAAGTGAAAAACATTACAATTAACAACAAAGACTAACTTTTTTTCTTAGTTGTTCAGCAACCCCAAAAGACCCCACATGTATATTTTTTGCTTGTATTTTTGTTAATACTCAAAAAGTGAAGACTAGACATGGATGACATTTAGTGAGGAATTGCAATACAACCACCAGATGAATTGATCCAGAATTATGCTGATCTAATAATTAATATTTGCCCTTGCCGGAGTTTTAATTTCTCATTACAAAAATTGTTTCTAGTAAATGTATTCATCAGGAGACTCTGCACAAGCTGGCTACTGATCCTGATCCTTTGAATCCTGTGTGTTAGAGCAGACGAATACAACATCCAGGATACCGGCCTTCGAGGACCAGAATTGCCCACCCCTGTTCTAGGACACCCAACAGGTACTTTTATGGTAACTTTATCATAGATGTAATCATTTGGTTACTATGTTTGAGAAGAGCAAAAGAAGAAATTCACATTAACAACCCAAACTATAAAATAGCTGTTTTTGTCTGTCTTGGAAAAGCCATGATGGGTTTTCCCATTGATGGCCCTCTGAAACAAACCTCTGCTGTCCCTGGACGGAGTGTCAATCTTGGAAGGTGCTATCGTCCCGCGGTTCTGCAAGCAGAAACCAAACCTTGTCAGTGAGCCATCACGTTTTTAATGTCTGAGCTACATTCCGTTTTGATCCTCTTCTGCATTCCGAGTTCACTACCTTAATTACATACCTAGTTCAAGCCTGTGGGACAAGATTAGTCCTGATTAGAGCACAGGCCTCTTTTAATCACACGTCAGCGTTAGCGACTTTGTCAGTTCAACAAAATGCTTTGTCAAGCCGCGCCTACTTTTTTCAAAAGAGGCAGTAAGAACATTACTCAAATGTAGTCACTAAGACAAAAAGGATATTCTCCCATCAGGCTCTCTCAAATGTTTTTTTTTATTTGCAGGGTTAAGTAATACGAGCACACAAGACTCACCTTTGCTATTTTATTAACCTTCACCCCTGTAGTCGGAGGAGTCTCCGGACTCCGGACAATTTCTTCGTCCGGACCCACGTCTGGGTTAAGTGTAAATATACTCTCCAAATCAATCTGATAGGTAAGAGAGGACAATGACGAGTCAATTACGAGCAAGGCCAAAGCTTCAAAAGCCAAACCTGGCTCTACAAGAAGTGTCTTCTGGATCTCGTTCCTGCACTTTGATTGCGTAATCATCATCAAAACTCTTTGACATCTTCTCATGAATTATTCAGAGCTTTCAGAAAACGGGGCCTGCTATGTCGCCGCTGGTACATTGAAGCAGGAGTAAATGGCGGTTACCTCTTTCCCTTTTGTGTCTCCATTCTCTATCCACTCCACCGTGACACTCTCGTTGTCCTCGTTCAGGGACGTCACCATCGCCTCATGTATGCGTCCTGTCCAAGAGTTAAGATACAAAATTGTGACCATTAGTTGAGTATGTGGCACGAGAGGGGCCTACTATGTTTGTTGTTGACATGTCTGTCAGCTCAAAATCGGGCTACATTTGTGGAGTCTGATGTCGGAATTGGACTAACTGTGCCATACTGTACCGATTAAATTCTTATTGAAATGTTGAGACATTTGTGGCACCAACAACTACTCCTGCTGCTCCTACTTCAATGAGTTCTGGCATGGATTTTCAAAGTCTCTAATTCCACTGACAGCGTTCTTTCAAAAGTCGGTCATTCCGAGATTATGATGGGGATAATGAGGGAGTGGAAACCGTCTTTCCACAAAATTCCCCTGCAGGTGTTTATGTACATCCTGCAAATATAGGTCACATACTTGCTAACACTGGTTCTTCACCGTGGTCGGCAACCATACCGTACATGGCGAAACTACGTTTTTCAGATTACTTGAGGCTTTACTCAGTGCTTTCATTCATCACCTTTGTGATGTATGAGGGCATGGTATTCCCATTGGGCAACAAAAGGCGATGTGCATCCCTCTTCTGCCTGAAAATCTGCGTAAAATTTTCAACAGATCTTGAGAGCTGTGTTTATTGCCATCCTGCTTGAAACGCTCCGGCATTATCTGCAATTTTTAGACTCCATAACAACAACCCTGTTGCTCTGACATGTGTGGTGTTGAAGACCTTTGAACCCCTCATGCTGAAACCACCTAAGAAGTGTCAAATGACCTCTGCTCGACCCCTTGCAGTTTGCCTGCCAAGACAATAGGTTGGTGGATGATGCAGTCAACTTGAGCCTGCACTTCATCCTTCAAATTTGCAACGGCAAAGGGACCTACCTCCGTAGGCATCCTGTTCAATAACTCCAGCTCTGTATTCAACACCATCATCCCTAAACTCTTTTCCAAATTGTTCCAGCTCAGCGCCTCTCCTGCCACTTGCTGGTGGATTAAGGCTTCAAGACAGGCAGGACAAACAGCAGGTGAGGTGGGGAGAAACCACCTCATCCACACGCACAATCAGCACCTCTGAGACTCAAGTTCCTGGGAATTAGTCCCGCTGGACCTGAAGTGGGAGGCCAACATCAACATTCTACTTCATTCTCAAAAAGGCCCAACAGGGGATGCACTTCCTGTGGCTGCTGAGGAAGCACGGCCTGTCACTTGAGCTGTTGACGCAGTTCCATACAGCAGTCACTGAAGCAGTCATGCCATCACTGTCTGGTTTGGTGCTGCTAAAAAGGACACCATTCATCTGCAACGAACAATGAGGACTGCCGAGATGTTCATCCGTTGCCGCCCTATACACTCATGAGGACTTGCACTCTTCAAGAACTAAGACAGTGACATTGTGCCAGTTTTGATCATCTCTGCACCCTTGGCACAAAGCATATCAGAATTATCGCACAACAGGTCATCTTAAATGGCCTGGCAACGATCATTATTATTCTAAACATAATTCTCAACAATTCATTACCTGAGCAAACAATTCTTATGCCCACCACTGAAAACGGTAACGGACACTTAACCGTTTTATTGAAATCTACCTATCTAACACCTTTAAGGATTAATTTGATGAGTGACTGTAAAGCAGGCTCTCTGATCAAACATCAGTTACATGACGTCTCAAATGGTTTGTGGATTAAACATACATACTCCAAAAGTCTTCCCAGAAAAGTGGAAACTGCTGGAGGGAAGACACCAACTCCCTATAGTCGAAGACGTTATGAGAATCTTATAAAAACCACTACTGTACTTTTCTTCATTTATATTGCCATGAGCTACATTGCAAAGTCACACACTGGGTTCTGTCATAGCAGCTTATCTGAAAGAACCCATTGTGCCCACTGTGTCCCACTTTAATGCCAAAACCAGGCCGATACTTCCCAGTGGTTGAAGGGGCTCGAACGAACGGGTGTATCTAACAATGATAAGACAGTGGAACAAACAAAAAGGCTCGTCACTGACATCTTAAACGTCAATCGATGGTAGAAGGTCAAAATGTTGAATAAATGCATCTTAATCACCAACATTTTTGGTTTGTATGCTATTATATGATTATTTGTTGTTCTCAAGAAGAAATATGGACCTAAAAAAATGCACAGGGGGTGGTGTCAGAATTAAGGATGCTGGCTACAACAGATGGGGTGGTGGCCTGAATCTGGCGAGAATCTGCATGAGTCTCACCATCACCCCCTGCTGAGAGGGAAATCTCTGGTCTGGATGCAAACCCAGCCAACTGAGAAGTGTGCGACTGAATTACTTTGCTCGTTGTGCCTGTGCACCATTGCTTATACATTTTACACCTTTAAGGACTGATTGTGAGAACATGTCATTGTATTCTAACAACAAAAAAGATCAGTGCCTCCACATTCGTGTCACTAATAGCATGAAGATAATTGTGCTGACACCTTTTTTGTTTAAAAAAAAAAATCCTAAACCTCTACGGAGAATGTTTTCCAATCACAGAAAGTCACACACAGAAAGCCCATTTAATGTGAAACAAAATATATATTTTTTTAATTCTATTGAATGACACCTCAGCGTTTTGGGGGTTCAATAACAACTCCGCTGATGTTTTCTTTTTTTTTTTTAATTACATAGTGCGGCGGATAAAATGCTCTTATGTGCCAATCTGTACTACCACTGCGATGTGGGTCCCCAGCCTCTGCCATTAAGCAGTACGGCATGAAGGTTTAAGAAAAAAAAGACAAGCAAAAAACAAAGGATAATAGTATATTGACTATGACTTTAAGAATACAGTCTTGACTTTAATACCATTCCACGTTATATCTCTTGATGTTCTGGTCATTACTGCGTTTCCATAGCAACTGCCATTTACAAGGTCGAGCTCCCTCCATTAACACTTGGGCAAATCAAACCGAGTAGGAACATTTCAAAGGGACGACTCGTACGGTTCAAAAATTGACACGTTGACAGATCAATGACATCCCGTTTCGGATCTCCGGTAAGAAGCCGGTCACGTTAGCATTAGCCATTAAGCTAATCCCCTGTTAATGCTGCGTAATGAAGCATTCCCCAGTTAGGCTGAAAATGTGAGACCATCGGAATAAAAGGCGTTAAAAACACATAGTTATGGTGGCTAATATTCATATCGTGCTATGTCCTTATAATGGCGCGTTTGTTGTGATTTGGTTCAAAATGAGGACGCCGTCTGACCGTCATGTCGGATGAATCAAAATCACGAATGAATGAGTCTTGATGGGGAAACAAAAATATTCCGTCATGTTGTCATTTCCCCCCCAGCGAGCGTTAGATGTCGTTCATCAGCTGCATTCAGCAGCACCACAGCAACAAAGATCCCCAAACAACTTGGGCTAGACACTGCGTCGAAGACAAGAAGAGCAGCTCGCCTTAACTTACCATCACTGCGCTTTATTTCCACATACGTGCCAACGGCGAGCTTCCCAAACACCACGGCCATTCTACATTCCCCGTACAAATTCACAAGTAAACGGCTACAAAGCTATAAGCGAGGTGGGAGAAGCAACCTCTTGGCAAATGGGGAGGGAAAGCGTCAAGAGTGGCCGTAGAAGCTCCAGCTCACAGGCCAGTTCCGGTGCAGCGTGGTGCACTTCCTGTCACCAACCGGAAGTAAACAAAAACCGCGCTGTCCGGCTTAGTTGGTTCCCACTTCTCACCGCACTACGATGGTAAGTGACTGATGTGATCTTTCTAAAGCAGCGACCGTACTTTATGAAATGACGCCAATGATAGACTGTTTAATCACTTTGATACACTAATCAGAGCGAGTTACGAATGTTGGCAAGCGTCACACGCCGTTTTTATTCTGGTTAGCTTTTATTGTGTGGTTAAAGCCACCCGTCATCATGAACTGGACCTCTGTTTCTGAATTGACCTCATTTTAGAATGGGCGAGAAAGAGCATTGGTCTGTATCTATCATTTGTTTAGCATGTGCAATTTTATTGTTGATGATGTTGAACAATAAAAATGCTCGAAAATGTTAAAAACAATTAAAATAGTAATGTTATCCAAAATACTAACACTCTTCATGATCAAAACCTCAAATAATACCCTTCATCTTGAAATAATCATAGCTGTGGACTTTTTTGTTTATGAATGCTGTCAGGCAGACATTAATTTTACAACAGTTATCAAATTGCCATACATATTTCTAAATAAAGTCAAATTCAGACTCCAAAGAGTCTCATTTGCAGACAAAAGGGCGAATAAAAGTTAGCAAGCTTTTAGAGATATGTTCATCTGTTTCCTGGCTACTGTCGAGGTGCCTTTGAGCAAGACATTGCCACCTCCCCACTGAAACAGCTCAAGAATTGTTGCACTTTGTGCGCGCCTTTAACTCTGATCTCTCCTTGAATGCTCGCATGTGTGATTTGGTTCCAGTATGTGGTGTGACACAAAATGCAGCCAGAATAATTTGAACTTCTCTTTGAAGGATTGTAATCAGTACAATAAATAAAAGCAAAGTAAATTGAGGTCAAATTAGAAACACTTAATGATATGATGTAGGGCAGTTTTACACCACTAACTACAACTATGGTTGAAAAAACCTTGTTAAATTACCGCACTTGTGACAAATTATTAACATGTAAATTAATATCATTTTAACAAATACATATTTTATTATGTACTCCTTAACTTTTGTGACTGTGCTTCATCTTTTTAGATGCAACCTACAGTTCTTCAAGCAAGTGAAGAACATAAATTGAAGTATGGCAAAAAATGCTGTCAACTCCCAAATCAGGTATTGGATGTTCCATATCTCTCCATTGTAAGTCATCTGTTCCTGAAAAGTACTACCGTTGCCATCATTGTGAAGAGGCTCAGGCTCATGGAGATTTTCTGTGTTTTATGTTTGGGAAGCAGGGTACTATTTCATTTACTGGTACTCGCACTGAAGGTTAAAGATTTGGTCATTGATCTGTGGTCACTTGTATTATTAGATTTAACTATATTTTTCAATACTCTTTGGCCAAATTTAGTTAACATGATTTTTATATCAAGCATAATTGTGCTGTTTATCATCCTTTCATTGAAAATCTAAAACTCAGAATAAAAACAATTTAGCGATGAAAATCTATGATTCTCACACACACACACACACACACACACACACACACACACACACACACACACACACACACACACACACACCCATGCACATGCACACATGCACGCACACACACCAGCCAAGCCACCATCGCCCCAGCAGAGAGCCTCTGAGTTGAACTGATTTAGTAGTTCTAAGTTCCTTGAGTCATGCATTTCTTGTCAACATGTAGTTCTTACTACGACTACAGTATTAGTCCACACAATGTCATAGGCCACAAACAAAATATCAACAGACACACGTCAATTAACCCTACTTATTACCCTCACAGCTGACTCCCCCCTCCACACTTGTCTTTCTAGAAGCTACTAGGTTACTCTGGTGGTCCTCCAGCTGTCAACCCCCCACCCCAACACACACACACCCCCGCCACCCCTCCTACTTGCATCAGACTTTGCGAGGGAGTTCTCAGCTGTCTGCACCCAAAATAAACCTTATCAGGAGGAGACCATCTTTGAGAGTGGTGTTGCATTCGTCAGATATACCTAAAATATTTGCTTTACTTTAAAGTTCCTGCAGTATTATTTTCTGCTACACGAGTACTCTTAAAAGTTGACGAAAAACCTGGAAGTAGAGCGTTTTTGTTTGGTTTTGTTTTCCCAGGGGAGCTTGCATCTTGGTCCCCCCCGCATTTATCATGACTGGGCCACCGTGAGTTGGCCCACCTCATTGTGACGACAAATATAAATGGGTGTCTGAGTGGCGGCAGCGTCATATGGTGTCAGTCTCATCTTGACTGGAGTTCTGGGAGCGGCAATTGGAAGAAATACTGACTTGAAAGAGGAACACGGTAAAAGGTGTTGCATATATTGTGTTTATTTGTGGGGGGGGGGGTGTATTCAAGCATGTTGGGGGTGCATATACAGTTAGAATGAGATCAGGAATGCAAGAGGTGTGAATCTGTCCATTCGGTCAGCAGCATTTGTTTGACTGCTCCCGGCATCGTGCCCATAAAAGGCCTCAGGGTGGCCATTTAAAGTTACAGATAGCATGTGCATGTGATAGCATGTGCTTAGCCATTTGCTACTAAAGACCCAGGTCAGCAGGACACTGATTACAAGCAGAGGTGAGAATCAATACGTTAAACAAATCTATTGAAATATATTATTTCAATTTTGATCCATATGATATTGGTTGCGGGCTCTTGCGTTGAATTCTGTAATGCTTGACGATCGAATGATTGTATGCCTTGTGACTAAAACTTTTCTAACAGATGGGAGACCCATTCCAGTTAAAAGATGAGGGAAACAAACATTTCCAAGCGGGAGATATTGACAAGGCGATCGAGTGTTACACCAAAGCAATCAGTCTGTGTCAGGACAAGAAAGTGCTGGCTGTTATTCACCGAAACAGATCTGCCTGCTATTTGAAAAAGGTAAGGAGTTGTAACTGATGTAAAACTATTTCAACAAGCGTGTACTTATTTTCAAATCAGTCTTACAAATTTGAGTGTTTTAACATCTTGCCAGGAAAAGTATTCCAATGCAGCCTCGGATGCATCCAAAGGTACCGAATAGTAATAAATGAACATTAAACGCAAAAAAAAAAAAAAGACAAACATATTGAAACTTTGTCCTCTGTTCATTTTATACAGCCATTGATGTTGATGCGGCTGACATTAAAGCCTTGTACCGGCGCTGCCAAGCTCTGGAGAAGCTTGGAAAACTCGACATGGCGTTCAAAGATGTACAGAGATGTGCCACCATTGAACCCAAAAACAAAACTTTCCTGGAGACTCTCCGGAGGCTGGGGGCTGAAATCCAGAGCAAGGTCAGCATTGAATGCAGCACACCCACATGTATCAATACCGTCACTATACATACATACACAAAGTATATAAATGTAAACTAGATAAACATATATTTGCAAACTGTTTCATATTTTAATGGTGCCTTTTTGGAGTTACCGTACATTGTTTGGTTGTGTGCACCAGAGAATAAGAGATATGGTATCCATCAAAATGTCAACAACCCTTGTCCAAACAAAATGAGATATTATCAAAGATTCATTTCCATCTGTGGTTTCATTCACAGCTCAAAACAACATTCTCCACAGATTCAAGGGTACAAAACATGTTTGATATTCTCCTTGATGAAGAACCGGAAAAAGACAAGAAGGAAAAGGTGGATCATTTTTACTGTTAGCTGAAAAGAAACCTCATATTAACCTGTTCCATTTATTGAATGAACACGAGATTCTATCTGTTGATTTTAGATCACATCACATAACACTTACGGTATATTTACTTACTGTATATCTATATAAGTAACATTTTTGTTGTTGTTGTCAAGGCTGCCAACAACCTGATCGTACTATCCAGAGAGGATGCAGGAGCAGAGAGAATCTTCCAGAATAATGGCGTGCCTCTGCTCCTCAACATGATAGAGAAAGGAAAACCAGAGATGATCCTCGCCGCTATTCGTACTCTTTCGGGAATGTGCACAGGGCACAAAGCTCGGGTGAGGATTAAATCTAAATATACAGGATTGCTGACCGTCCGATAATAAGATCGTTTAAAAGTACATTTCTCTTCACATTGCACTTTGCAGACAATGGCCATTATTCACATGGTGGGCATTGATAAATTGTGCAGCATTATGGCGCTTGAGAATGAGGAGATTGCTCTGGCAACCTGCAATCTCTTCCAATGCATCAATGACTCCCTCACAGGTGGCGATAAAAGAGAATATGGGAAAGAAGAGTCCTTGGTTTTAGGTGAGACTTACCCGTAATTGTTATTTATCATCGATTGCAAAAGAGGGTATATAGTCGTTGAGATTAACGTTTGCATGAAACGTTGAATCTTTTTTTTCGACACAGATGCCTCGAAAGATCTGAAGACCATTCTCCTGTCTTTGCTGGAAATGGTTGGCAGTAAAAAGGTGTCCGGCCATGGCAGAGACCAGGCGCTGAACCTCCTGAGCAAGAACGTCCCTCGCAAAGGAAAGAAAGAGCCAGACAACTCAAGGACCCTCTTCACCGTCGATCACGGTGAGCCAGAAGACATCTGACTATCTTCGGGGTTAAACAAAACATGCACAGCCTTTAAGCCATCGATTTCGTTCATCTTTTTTTTTTTTCTCCCCACCCAGGTCTGAAGAAAATCCTCAAGGTGTGCGGTCAGGTTCCTGAACTACCCGACCAGTTGCCCTTGACTGAGAACACTCAGTTGATTGCCAGCGTACTCCTCAACCGGCTCTATGATGACTTCACGTGCGACCCAGAGAGAAACAACTTCAGGGACATTTGTGATGAGTACATAAAGTACGTTTATAAAACCCCTCTCATCATTTCAGACACCAGCTGGTTGATATATTCTTGCCTCTACTGACATCTTCCCCTTTTCCACAGATCTAAAATTGACCCTAACGACATGGACAAAA